TGAACCTGACAAAGCTTTCATGAAATTAAATGTTAGAAATGGACAAAAGGGAAATATTTAATATCTACATTTTTCTGAATGCAAAGTCAGGTAAGTAGGGGGCATCCGGACTTGAACCAGAGACCTCTTGATCTGCAGTCAAATGCTCTGCCACTGAGCTATATCCCAGTTACTCCTAATACTCTAAAAGAACCCTAATAGCTAAGGCTTTGACTCGGATTGTGTCTGAAAACACTAAGATGCATGACAGTCAAGAATGTTTGCTAAGTAGGGGGTATCCAGACTTGAACCAGAGACCTCTTGAACTGCAGTCAAATGCTCTGCAACTGAGCTATACCCCCAATACCCCTGCACTGATCAAGAGGTCTCTACTTAGCAAACATTCTTTGCAGCCCTAACGTTGCATTCAGAAAAAACTAAATGTTTAATATTTCCCTTTTGTCCATTTCTTCCGTTTAATTTCATGAAAGCTTTGTCAGGTTCATTGTGCAGGGGTAATGGGGGTATAGCTCAGTGGCAGAGCATTTGACTGCAGATCAAGAGGTCTCTGGTTCAAGTCTGGATGCCCCCTACTTAGCAAGCATTCATGACTGTCGTATATTCAGACACAGTCAAAGTCTTTCCTATCAGGGTTCTTCTAGAGCAGGGGTGCCCAATCCTGGTCCTCGAGAGCTACCGTCCCGCAGCTTTTAGATGCATCCTTGTTCCCACACACCTGAATCAAATGAATGGCTTGTTATCAGGCCTTTGCCAAACATGATGGCATGCTGTAGAGATCAAACCATTTGATTCAGCTGTGTTGGAGTAGGGATGCATCTAAAAGCTGCAGGACGGTAGCTCTCGAGGACCGGGATTGGGCACCCCTGTTCTAGAGCATTTGACTGCAGTTCAAGAGGTCTCTGGTTCAAGTCCGGATATCCCCTACTTAGCAAACATTCTTGACTGTCATGCATCTTAGTGTTTTCAGACACAATCCGAGTCAAAGCTTTAGATTTTAGGGTTCTTTTAAAGCATTAAGAGAAATGGGGGTATAGCTCAGTGGCAGAGCATTTGACTGCAGTTCAAGAGGTCTCTGGTTCAAGTCCGGATGCCCCCTACTTAGCAAGCGTTCATGAACGTCATGTATATTCAGACAAAATCCAAGTCAAAGCCTTTCCTGTCAGGGTCCTTCTAGATCATTTGAACCCAGATCAAGAGGTCTTTGGTTCAAGTTGGGATGCCCCCTACTAAGCAAATTTTCTTTGCAGCCCTGACTTTGCATTCAGAAAAAACTAAATCTTTAAAATTTCCCTTTTGTCCATTTCTTCCGTTTAATTTCATGAAATCTTTGTCAGGTTCACATGTCAGGGGTAATGGGGGTATAGCTCAGTGGCAGAGCATTTGACTGCAGATCAAGAGGCCTCTGGTTCAAGTCCGGATACCCTCTCCTTAGCAAACGTTCTTGAATGTCATGCATCTTAGCTTTTTCAGACACAATCCGAGTCAAAGCCTTTCCTATCAGGAAATGCTCTGATCAAGTAGAGACCTCTTGATCAGAGCATTTTGATCTGCAGTCAAATGCTCTGCCACTGAGCTATACCCCAATTACCCGTGACATGTGAACCTGACAAAGCTTTCATGAAATTATACGTTAGAAATGGACAAAAGGGAAATATTAAAGATTTAGATTTATCTGAATGAAAAGGCAGGCATGCGAAGAAAGTTTGCTAAGTACGGAGCATCCCGACTTGAACCCAAGACCTCTTGATCTGGGGTTAAATGCTCTAGAAGAACCCTGATAGGAAAGGTTTTGACTGAAATGATCTAGAAGAACCCTGACAGGAAAGCCTTTTACTTGGATTGTGTCTAAATATACAGTCAAGAATGTTTGCTAAGTAGGGGGTATCTGGACTTGAACCAGAGACCTCTTGAACTGCAGTCAAATGCTCTGCCACTGAGCTATACCCCCAAAACCCATCCCCAATGAACCTGACAAAGCTTTCATGAAATTAAATGTTAGAAATGGACAAAAGGGTAATTTTAAAGATTTAGATTTTTCTGAAGGCAAAGTCAGGCCTTCAAAGAAGTTTTGCTAAGTAGGGGACATCCGGACTTGAACCAAAGACCCTTTTGATCTGGTGTCAAATGCTCTATAAGAACCCTGATAGCAAAGGCTTTGACTTGGATTGTGTCTGAATATACATGACAGTCAAGAACGCTTGCTAAGTAGGGGGCATCCCGACTTGAACAAGAGATCTCTTGATCTGCAGTCAAATGCTCTGCTACTGAGCTATACCCCCATTCCTCCTAATGCTTTAAAAGAACCCAAATAGCTAAGGTTTTGACTCGGATTGTGTCTGAAAACACTAAGATGCATGACAGTCAAGAATGTTTGCTAAGTAGGGGGTATCCGGACTTGAACCAGAGACCTCTTGATCTGCAGTCAAATGCTCTGCCACTGAGCTATACCCCCAATACCCATGCCCAATGAACCTGACAAAGCTTTCATGAAATTATACGTTAGAAATGGACAAAAGGGAAATTTTAAAGATTTAGATTTTTCTGAATGCAAAGTCAGGCATGCAAAGAAAGTTTGCTAAGTAGGGGGCATCCCGATTTGAACCCAAGACCTCTTGATCTGGGGTCAAATGCTCTATAAGAACCCTGATAGAAAAGGCTTTGACTCAGATTGTGTCTGAAAAAGCTCAGATGCATGACATTCAAGAACGTTTGCTAAGTAGGGGATATCCGGACTTGAACCCAAGACCTCTTGATCTGGTGTCAAATGCTCTATAAGAACCCTGATAGGAAAGGCTTTGACTCAGATTGTGTCTGAATATACATGACAGTGAAGAATGCTTGCTAAGTAGGGGGGATCAGGACTAGAACCAGAGACCTCTTGATCTGGGGTCAAATGCTCTATAAGAAAGCTGATAGGAAAGGCTTTGACTGTGTCTGTATATACATGACATTCATGAACACTTGCTAAGTAGGGGGTATCCGGACTTGAACCAGAGACCTCTTGAACTGCAGTCAAATGCTCTGCCACTGAGCTATACCCCCATTTCTCCTAATGCTCTAAAAGAACCCAAATAGCTAAGGCTTTCACTCGGATTGTGTCTGAAAACACTAAGATGCATGACAGTCAAGAATGTTTGCTAAGTAGGGGGCATCCGGACTTGAACCAGAGACCTCTTGATCTGCAGTCAAATGCTCTGCCACTGAGCTATACCCCCATTTCTCGGAATGCTTTAAAAGAACCCTAATAGCTAAGGCTTTGATTCGGATTGTGTCTGAAAACACTAAGATGCATGACAGTCAAGAATGTTTGCTAAGTAGGGGGCATCCGGACTTGAACCAGAGACCTCTTGATCTGCAGTCAAATGCTCTGCCACTGAGCTATACCCCCAATACCCATGCCCAATGAACCTGACAAAGCTTTCATGAAATTAAACGTTAGAAATGGACAAAAGGGAAATTTTAAAGATTTAGATTTTTTTGAATGCAAAGTCAGGCATGCAAAGAAAGTTTGCTAAGTAGGGGGCATCCCGACTTGAACCCAAGACCTCTTGATCTGGGGTCAAATGCTCTATAAGAACCCTGATAGAAAAGGCTTTGACTCAGATTGTGTCTGAAAAAGCTCAGATGCATGACATTCAAGAACGTTTGCTAAGTAGGGGATATCCGGACTTGAACCCAAGACCTCTTGATCTGGTGTCAAATGCTCTATAAGAACCCTGATAGGAAAGGCTTTGACTCGGATTGTGTCTGAATATACATGACAGTGAAGAATGCTTGCTAAGTAGGGGGGATCAGGACTTGAACCAGAGACCTCTTGATCTGGGGTCAAATGCTCTATAAGAACCCTGACAGGAAAGGCTTTGACTGTGTCTGTATATACATGACATTCATGAACACTTGCTAAGTAGGGGGTATCCGGACTTGAACCAGAGACCTCTTGAACGCAGTCAAATGCTCTGCCACTGAGCTATACCCCCATTTCTCTTAATGCTCTAAAAGAACCCAAATAGCTAAGGCTTTCACTCGGATTGTGTCTGAAAACACTAAGATGCATGACAGTCAAGAATGTTTGCTAAGTAGGGGGCATCCGGACTTGAACCAGAGACCTCTTGAACTGCAGTCAAATGCTCTGCCACTGAGCTATACCCCCATTACCCCTGACATGAGAACCTGACAAAGCTTTCATGAAATTAAACGGAAGAAATGGACAAAAGGGAAATTTTAAAGATTTAGTTTTTTCTGAATGTAAAGTCAGGGCTGCAAAGAAAATTTGCTTAGTAAGGGGACATCCCGACTTGAACCAAAGACCTCTTGACCTGGTGTCAAATGCTGTTTAAGAACCCTGATAGGAGAGGATTTGACTTGGATTTTGTCTGAATATACATGACATTCATGAACGCTTGCTAAGTAGGGGACATCCGGACTTGAACCCAAGACCTCTTGATCTGGTGTCAAATGCTCTATAAGAAAGCTGATAGGAAAGGCTTTGACTCGGATTGTGTCTGAATATACATGACAGTCAAGAATGCTTGCTAAGTAGGGGGTATCAGGACTTGAACCAGAGACCTCTTGATCTGGGGTCAAATGCTCTGCCACTGAGCTATACCCCCATTTCTCAAAATGCTTTAAAAGAACCCTAATAGCTAAGGCTTTGATTCGGATTGTGTCTGAAAACACTAAGATGGATGACAGTCAAGAATGTTTGCTAAGTAGGGGGTATCCGCACTTGAACCAGAGACCTCTTGAACGCAGTCAAATGCTCTGCCACTGAGCTATACCCCCATTACCCATACCCAATGAACCTGACAATGTTTTCATGAAATTATACGTTAGAAATGGACAAAAGGGAAATTTTAAAGATTTAGATTTTTCTGAATGCAAAGTCAGGCATGCAAAGAAAGTTTGCTAAGTAGGGGGCATCCCGACTTGAACCCAAGACCTCTTGATCTGGGGTCAAATGCTCTCGAAGAACCCTGATAGCAAAGGCTTTGACTCGGATTGTGTCTGAAAAAGCTAAGATGCATGACATTCAAGAACGTTTGCTAAGGAGAGGGTATCCGGACTTGAACCAGAGGCCTCTTGATCTGCAGTCAAATGCTCTGCCACTGAGATATACCCCCTTTTCTCGGAATGCTTTAAAAGAACCCTAATAGCTAAGGCTTTGACTCGGATTTTGTCTGAAAACACTAAGATGCATGACAGTCAAGAATGTTTGCTAAGTAGGGGGCATCCGGACTTGAACCAGAGACCTGTTGAACTGCAGTCAAATGCTCTGCTACTGAGCTATACCCCCATTACCCCTGACATGAGAACCTGACAAAGCTTTCATGAAATTAAACGGAAGAAATGGACAAAAGGGAAATTTTAAAGATTTAGTTTTTTCTGAATGTAAAGTCAGGGCTGCAAAGAAAATTTGCTTAGTAAGGGGACATCCCGACTTGAACCAAAGACCTCTTGACCTGGTGTCAAATGCTGTTTAAGAACCCTGATAGGAGAGGATTTGACTTGGATTTTGTCTGAATATACATGACATTCATGAACGCTTGCTAAGTAGGGGACATCCGGACTTGAACCCAAGACCTCTTGATCTGGTGTCAAATGCTCTATAAGAAACCTGATAGGAAAGGCTTTGACTCGGATTGTGTCTGAATATACATGACAGTGAAGAATGCTTGCTAAGTAGGGGGGATCAGGACTTGAACCAGAGACCTCTTGATCTGGGGTCAAATGCTCTATAAGAACCCTGACAGGAAAGGCTTTGACTGTGTCTGTATATACATGACATTCATGAACGCTTGCTAAGTAGGGGGCATCCGGACTTGAACCAGAGACCTCTTGATCTGCAGTCAAATGCTCTGCTACTGAGCTATACCCCCATTCCTCCTAATGCTTTAAAAGAACCCTAATAGCTAAGGTTTTGACTCGGTTTGTGTCTGAAAACACTAAGCTGAATGACAGTCAAGAATGTTTGCTAAGTAGGGGGTATCCGGAATTGAACCAGAGACCTCTTGATCTGCAGTCAAATGCTCTGCCACTGAGCTATACCCCCATTTTTTGGAATGCTTTAAAAGAACCCTAATAGCTAAGGCTTTGACTCGGATTGTGTCTGAAAACACTAAGATGCATGACAGTCAAGAATGTTTGCTAAGTAGTGGGTATCCAGCCTTGAACCAGAGACCTCTTGATCTGCAGTCAAATGCTCTGCCACTGAGATATACCCCCAAAACCCCTTCCCAATGAACCTGACAAAGCTTTCATGAAATTAAACGTTAGAAATGGAAATTTTAAAGATTTAGATTTTTCTGAACGCAAAGTCAGGCCTTCAAAGAAATTTTGCTAAGTAGAGGACATCCGGCCTTGAACCAGAGACCTCTTGATTTGCAGTCAAATGCTCTGCCACTGAGCTATACCCCCATTTCTAGGAATGTTTTAAAAGAACCATAATAGCTAAGGCTTTGATTCGGATTGTGTCTGAAAACACTAAGATGTATGACAGTCAAGAATGTTTGCTAAGTAGGGGGTATCTGGACTTGAACCAGAGACCTCTTGATCTGCAGTCAAATGCTCTGCCACTGAGCTCTACCCCCATTTCTAGGAATGTTTTAAAAGAACCGTAATAGCTAAGGCTTTGATTCGGATTGTGTCTGAAAACACTAAGATGCATGACAGTCAAGAATGTTTGCTAAGTAGGGGGCATCCGGACTCGAACCAGAGACCTCTCTCCTGAGTTCAACATAAGACCTGGTTCATTAGATTAGAACACCCATTATGCATCTGGAAATTATAGGAAGCAGGGACTTATACGCCCTGAATCGAATTAAAAATCCACCCCTGTAGCTATCAAATTAAGATGAAATCCACATGAACTTATCAGTTAGGGCAACAAGAAATGCTAAATTACATAATGTCAAATTATATGTCTCTTGTACTCAAAGTGAGACCTGGTTCCACAGAGCAGAAGCCTGATAGTTTTGGGCTTCTGAATGGAAATTTAGCCCATAGGCCTGAAGGAGCAAGTTTTCTCATAGTTGAAAGAATGCCTGGATATGTTGGATGAGCTTTATAGTTTTATGTTTTTTAACATGTAAAATCAGATTTCCTCATATTTTAAAGTATGAACTTCAACTTGAATTGAAAAATATATAAACAGATATGATTTTAAACCTTGGAAGTTTCTGTGATATAACTCTCTAACCAAACTGAACACTAAGAAGATTGAGACTGATCTAAAAAAAGAATACTTTTGCCTCATTTTTACTAAAAAAAAAAGGGGGAAATATTAATAACATTTAACAGTGATTGTTTTATAGCTACTCGGAGCAATGCCTTGTCAGTCATAGTATTAAACATTACCTCGCTGACCAGCTCCCCAGCTTTCTTTGCTTGCAGGACATCCAGAGATTTCGAGGCCTCCCAGCCAACGCCCTTCATCCAGTTCAAATCTGACCTATACTGTTTCTGAAAACAGACGTGCGCACATATCAGTATCAAATTCTGCAGTACTTTTGCATGAAATGATTGGTCATTCCAGTGCCTAAAAGTAAGATTTACATCGCTTTGTAGTCCATAAGCCTTCTTCGCCCAGGCAACATTAATGTCAGTTGGCAGAGTAGTGTATTCATGGAGTATAGTCCTATAATTGGTCTCAGTTGCCAGGTCTTGAGCCTTCTTGGCATGGCTGATGTTCAGCATATCCAGGGAAACACTGGAAATGAAGATTAGTTTCAATGAGGAGCTTTGTTCCAAAACTGCAGAAAATGAAAGGTCAGTTATTGTTGAGTTGAGTTCAGCTCTTTGCTGATTGGGGTCTACTTAAAAAGAAGGATAATACACTTCATTTTACTTTGACTTTATCTGGGGTGATGGCTCATGCAGTCTTTATCAGAGCTTGTTTGACCTTTTGAAATGAAATGTCCTGTAAAACTTTCTAAATTGCTGCTGGTATGAAAAGAAAGCAGGATATTGCTAAGGAATCTGCTAATAATGTTTGTAATAATCTAAAAGCTTCTGTCAGTAGTTTTCCTCTTCAACTGATATCTGATAAATGATATAAGCTCTTTATCTCATTTTTAGAGTTACTGAAATGCTATAACACATGCATCATTACCCTCTGAGGTATAAAGACAAGAATATTAGGGCTAAATGACCTCGCTAACTCAGAAAATGCAAAATGAATTGCTTCACTTATTACCAATTAATTGAAGAAGACCATGCAACACAGATTTAAGAAACTATACCCAACTATAAATGACTCCCTTTACTTTATCTCTAGTACCAGATGCATCTGGGTGTAAAGAACTAAGCTTGGCCTCACCTGTATTTGGTCTTAGTGTCCTCGTAGTTCTTTTTGTAGTGGCGATCACTCTGTAGTTTGGTGGCCAGAGTGGAGTGAGCCATCTGAGAATCCTCACTGACCGCTTTAATGCCAATCATCTTGCCTTTGTTTTTCTCATACGTCTCTTTGTATTTCACCTGCAAAAAGACAAGAAATAAATGGTTCAAGATGCTAAATGCTACTTCTTAAAGAATCCAATGATTTCAAAATGCTGCAACTCAACCTAACCTAAGGTTATTGCAAATTTCAGAGTAAAAGAGAATAGAAACTCACATCACTAGCCAGGTCTCTCTTGGCTCTTGCTGTGAGTATAGATAGGGAGTCCAAACGGAGCTCAAAGCCCTTTTCCCTCTGCTTCTCCCAGTTGCTCTTGTACACTTTCTGCAAAGACAAATGCATGAGGAAAAAAATCATATCAGCACCTCACACGCACATATTGAGAAACTCGTTAAATTGCTTTCACCTTCAGGTGAAAACACAGAAAACTGTGAGGGCTGCGTGAGACAGACTAGAGACAATTTGTGAGACAAATTAAGCGTGAAAGACAATTTCACGTTGAACGGTGCGTGAGCTGCTATTTCAAAAGACTTAAAGTGCATTATATCACGTCATGTGGATTTTTAAAAGCAAATCTAATTTTGATAATTTTAAATTATTGGACTGAATAACTGGCTAACCAGCTTGATTTTGTACCATATGGAGACACTAAATAAGTTCAGCTGAATATAAGAAATTGGCTTAAATAGATTCCGCTTTCTGAGAACAACACTATGTCGAACCAGGTCACAGAATCAAACTGCTTTTAAGAAGATAAAATACAGTTTGTTTGTGACATTTTATATATATATATATATATATATATATATATATATATATATATATATATATATATATATATATATATGTGTGTGTGTGTGTGTGTTTGGTTGATATATACAGTTTTGTAATGATACCCTATGATTCATTAACTTGTAGAATCATCTTCAGCAGCAATAACTGAAAGTAATCGTTTTCTGCAGATCCTGGTAGCTAGTTTTTTACCTTTTTAATTTCTATGAAAGAACAAGGGACGTACTTGGTTTTCCACATAAAGTCCCTTTAAAACATAATTTGTCAAATGATTGCATGCATGAACTTATACCAGTTCAAGTGTGAGACACACGGCAGTCAACTGCACATTCTTGAGGAGCTTGTATAACGTAGCAGATAACAGATATAGTTTAAAAATGTGAATATTTGTTTTCTACATCAATTTTTTTATAAATGAACTTACTGCACTGAGAAGGTCCGCGTTAGCCTTTGCTTGTCTGAAAAGAGGTTCGTCCTTTGTGATGGTGTACTGGTGCAGCATCTGCTCTGTGTTTGCTTTGTAGGCCAACTGAAAAGTCACATAGATTAGTATATACTGCAAGAATGCACTAGAATGAATGGCGTCTCATTCCGGCTCTAAAGTGGAGACTTACATCGCTCTGCAGTTCCTGGCTTTTCTTTGCGTGCTTGATGGAGAGATCATCAGCCACCTGGGTGAACCTGATGCTGTCTGCCTTCTGACGGTATTTGGTCTGAGAGAAAAAAGCAGCCAAATAAATGGTGTGCTTGAAAGAAAACAGCAACAAACTAAAATATAAACACAAGCACATTTCCACTCACATCACTAAGCAGCTCTCCAGCTTTCTTTGCCTGAGTGATGTTGAGACATCCTTCGGTCTCCCAGCCCACTCCTTTCATCCAGTTCAAGTCTGAACGATACTGGTTCTGCAGAGAGGAACAAATGTCAAGAAAGACTTCTCCAAAAGACTTCTCTTTGCCTTTTTCTTCATGTCTCTGCATTTAAAAGAGACCCCTTAACCAAAATATCACCCTCAGGTGGCTCTCTCACCTCACTTTGGAGGGCATAAGCCTTTTTGGCCTGCTGGACCTTGATGTCATCTGCCATGACTGTGTAGTCGTGGAGCTTTGTGCGATACTCCAGGTCACTGGCGAGTGCCTGGGCCTTCTTGGCATGGCTTAGGTTGATCATGTCCAGAGGAAGGCTGTACTGGGCCTGGCTCTCTTTAGAGCCCTTCTTGTATTCAATCTGAAGTTGTAACAAAAAGCAATAGGTAACCTCTGAGGTTATACTCTGGGCTTGTGTGAGTCACACAAGTCTACACTATTACATTGCAGGTCAAGCAATTCTACTTACATCACTGCTCATCTTAGCCACTTGCAGAGAGTGCAGAGTCTTGGAGTCGCTCACGTTGACCCCCACAGCCTTCTCCTTGTTCTTCATGTAACTCTCTTTGTATTTAATCTGAAACACATGCCCGTCTGACTTGATTTCATTTGCCAGCTTTTACTTCTGATTTAAAGCCACTTAGATTTTTGCTTAGATGTCTTTGCAGCAAAGAGAAGCGTGAGTTTACTTACGTCACTTGCAAGGTCTCGGGAGGCCTTGGCTGCTTTGACGCTCAGATCGTCCACACCAATTTCACAAGCTTTAAACTTTGTCTTCTCCCACTCCTCTTTATATTTAATCTGAAGAAACAGAAATGGGTTATGGCATCATAATGCCAATAACAAGATAGATCATGTGGATTGGTATTGAATTCTGGGTGCTTGCATGACGAGTGAAGGTAAGCTATTGATGCAAGTGTGAGAAGAGTAAACTTACATCGCTACACAAAGCAGCATTGGCTTTGGCTTTTTGGATTTGGGGCAGGTCTTGGGATAGTGTGTACTGATGCTTTGTCTTCTCATACCCGGCTTTGTAATTTAACTAGAGGCCACATGAATTACATGGTTAGAAAAAATAAGAAACTTATTAAGTGTTATGCATGGTGTTATACTGTTTACTTACGTTGCTGACAAGCTGAGCATTTTTCTTGGCCAAAACAATGTCAGGTGTGTCTGTCACTGACTTGTACTTCACCTGGTCAATGTGCTGCCTGTAGTTCTTCTGCAACCACAATGACAACAGCGCTGGGATGAAGTTTGCTATCTGAGAACCGACTTTACATTTGAATAATTTTTCTGATTTTAAGTGCTTTTAAAAAAAACCCTTTTAGCGTTAAAATGTCCCTTTGTCTTAATTATATTGTTGGAGGCTGTACCTCTTTCAGTGGATCCAGTTTTCTTTGGCTTTGGTAACCTGGCGTAAGATTGGCCGGGTAGTTGTATTCAGCCTGCTCCTGCTCACAGCCTTGTTTATAAGTAATCTGAGATATGCAGGACAAAACCACCACATCAATAAAATCACTCGCACAGACAGTTGACAGTTTATCATTTTCTATTTACAAATTAAACATGTAAAATTGTTTCTTTTTATCCGTGTAATATGAAATCAAATCCAACCAAGCAGATCTAATACACTGATTTGATTAAAAATAAGACTTACATCACTTGCCAGCTTCCTCGCTTTCATGGCATGCATGGTCTTCTTATCAATACCCGAGTCTTCATAGTGGCCTTTCATACCAGTAGTGTATTTCTCTTTATATTTGTTCTATAGAAAATATTTGTTTAAAAAGAAACATGTTCATGTGCTAATATCAGGTATTAATATATAAATACGTTGTTTGTAGGGTGTCAAAAAATCTACAAAATTATCAAAATATATATATTTGACATTGTTTTTGCGATTAAACTTACATCACTGGTGAACTTGGCAACCTTGGCTGCATTTTGAAACTGTGGGGTCTCACAGAAATTGATGCTGTGTCCTTTGCTGTTCTCCAAGTCTTTTTTATACTCCACCTGTTAGCAAACGTAAAAATAAAGCAGCCAAGCTGTAACATTTTTCACTGCAACCTCATTTTTCTGTTTTCCACAGTGAGAGCTGATCCTTTGTGGCACATTGGTGCCTACATGGCTAAATATACAGTAAAGTTCCTCCCACTAATCAGTCACCATCACTGACACTCCATCATCACTCGAGAGTCTCTGAGACCAACCTTTAATCTTAAACATGCTTTGCTGAGCTTAACATTAAAACCATTTCCCTATTTAACATGTCAGTCTCTTTATCATGAAAATATCACACAGGGGAAACCTCACCTTTAAACACTGGTGCTTGAAGTTATGTGATCATGGCTGTTATTGGGGCCCTCTTTTCTGCTAGCTTTATGCTTAAGTGCAAATAAAGTCACTGATCTCAACCTCTGGATGCTGTTTGAATCGTTGGAGCTATTTAAAATATTTTCATAAAATTATCTGAGAAATCTAATGCTTTGTGCTCCAGCGTGGTGAGTGAAATACCAGTATCACATTTAGTACTAATATAAAGTCTATTGATGCACCATGCTAATCACGTTTGCTAGTGTTAGCTTGTGGTGGGCAGATTAATCCAACGCTGGTATTGGTTTTGGATCGACAGTAGTGCTATATGATTGATATTTTATTTCTATCTTCTTACTTGAGTATGTAGTCCACTGAATTGGGTTAAATATTTGTTTTTTAATGCAAAAATATACCTCAGTACTCTTGTGTTCACTGTCAAATCTATAGCACAACAGAAACTGGCACAAAGTGCTTTAGAGACAGGCACATTTACATTCCAGGTCTCCAAAAAACAGTTTCCATAAGCAATAAAAAGCTGAAAAGTGTGTTTTATTGTGTAAACTAAAACTGAAAGTGATTTAGTGTTTATTAAATGTGATGATGATGATGATGATGATGATGATGATGATGATGATTCATTTTTTAAAATCATGACATGCTGCTCTTTGCTACACAAGCTGCCTTTATAGGTTAAAAAGTATCAGTGTGGGCATTGGTATCTGAAATACTTGCCCTGTATTTACTTAAAATACTTTACAATTCGCAGTATAGAGCAGCACTAGTGTTAGCTGATAACTTCTCATCCAAATATTTCTACTTTTGGATTAAAAAGCCAAAACGACTACACTCCAGGGTTTAAAATGCAACTCACTAACCATGCTATGTTCTTTATTTACAGTCTGTCATTATATCATAAACATTATTTGAAGCATAAAACAAAAAAACAAAACTGAGATAATGTGTCTGTGTGGTTTTGGTGGAAAATTAGATTCAGAATAAGAGCTAATTTCTAACACACATATTTTTAAGGCTAAGAATAGATTCTTAAAAATAAAGCGCAGTGTGAGGTAACCTTAGTTTGGCAGGATGGGCCATGACCTTGGAGGTAAGCTGTCACCTCACCACACAAGCATTTCAGAGATGCTGAAAATGCAATTCAGGAGGCTTCATGTCTGCTGGACGCTGACACAGTACACCCAATATCTCCCACTCTTAAACACACATACATACATTCACCTGAGACTGACTGTTGCTTAGACAAAAAGCTATTTGAATATTCACATTGTTCTTTCCCTACGCTCTGAATAAATCTAGACACACAAATGTATTTAGCGAAGGTTGTATGCTTCTCACGAGCCTCACCTCACTGACAATCTTGTTGATTTTTCGTGCGTTCTTCAGTGCCAGATTATCCTCAGAGGTCAGACTGTGAAAGTGTGACGTGCCCTTCATCTTGTTTAAGTCTTTCTTGTATTTTAACTGGAAAGAGATGAAAAATTACTAAACGTGTTGCAGGAGGAGAAGGACAAACAGTTTTGCTCCTGCAAGGTTGAGGAACACACACAAACAGAGTCTAATTCATTCACTGCGGATAGTTTAGAGAATGATGACATCAAGTCTCCTCATTGTTGTCCCTCGTCTGCTATTCTGCCCGGTGTTGACAAGGACACTTGATTGATGAAGCTGAAACTCTTACACACTACACTCTGCAATGTTTTGACAACATTTACTACTAGTCCACATGACTAGATGACAGATACAAGCTCCCTTTATAACTACATGCAATCCTTCCAACACCTACACAACAAAGCATCTAAATGTTAGACTCAACATATTTGGGGCTCAGGAGGTAAAGCAGGTCATCTGCTGATCGGAAGGTTTGTGATTTGATCCCTGGCTCCTCAGGTCTGCATGCCAAATATCCTTGGGCAATATACTAACCCCAGGTTACTCTCCGATTCATCCATCAGAGTGTGAATGCTAGTGAGAAAGCACTGAAGAAAGTGAATGTGGCATGTTGTATAAAGCGTTTTGAGTGCGCTGGGAGAGTAGAAAAGGGCTAAATAAGACTCAGTCCATTTACCAAGATGGACCAATTACATGTTTGTCAAAGATACTTACAGCTTTTAGAAATATTTCACTGGGTCCACAGTCAGATTGATACTTACATCACTGGCAATTTCCTGTGCCTTCTTTGCAAGGTGATAACCAGGCGTAATCATGGCGGGGAAACTGCCTTTGCCTCGCTGTTGCTCGTATTCTTCAGTATAGGCAATCTGGAAACAGGAGAGCACTTTGCTTTATTTAGTTCACTTTGAATTAAAACAAACTGATGGAACAGTGACAGTAATTTTCATACATGGCTGAAGTTCTCTGCATTTTCTTTGGCATGGACAATCTCAGTAACAGCCGCTTCAGCGCTGGCTTTCCCCTTTATCTCCTGTTCGTACATCTGACGATACTTAATCTGGTTCAGCATGAAAACAACAGCATTTACATGCATTAGTATTTACTTGCATATGTGTGTGCTGTTTTTTTTGTTTTTTGTTTTGTACTACTTACGTCACTGGCCTGCTCAGTGGCCTTCTTTGACATTTTGTATCCAGGCGTAAGGTGTGCAGGGAAACTACCTTTACCTCTCTGCTGCTCATATTCTTCTGTGTAGGCATACTGATGAAAAAGAGGTGATGCCTCATATCCATAAATATATTATTGTAAGAATATATATGTTTATAGTTGAGCAGAGCTAGTTAAAAAAAAAAAAGTCAACAATGTCTGAAGGGCTTACATCGCTAACAATTTGTCCTTGTTTCTTGGCCAGAATCACCTCAGGGGGGTCCACAAATGTTGTGTATTTGGAAACTCTTTCCTCGTGTCCTTTTTTATATTCCAGCTGAAGAGAAAGACAACAAAGCATTTTTATTTGGCCTCTTGAATTTTTGATAAACTTGCATGGATTGTTTAACAGAAAGGGAAAATCAGTGAAGTTTAATCTTTTCTGTGAGGTACAGAAAGCTAAATGAAATCCACTTACATTACTTGCTAAGGTATTTGCCTTCTTGGCAGTTTGGTAGCCCGGTGTGATCATTGCAGGGAAGCTACCCTTTGCTTTTGACTGCTCATATTCTTCTGTGTATTTGACCTGTACAAAAAAGAAGCCACAAAATCAGCCATGTGACCAACACTGTTAAAAATTGTAAGTTTTTTTTATATCAACTATTTAAATAGAATATACTCATGATACAACAACACAACAACCAGTGAGAAAAAAACGTGTACTCACATCACTGATGGTATTCTGTGCCTGGGACATTGTCACTATCTCCTGGTTGCTCACCATCCCTGAATACCAGGTCTGCTGCTGTGAGAACTCAGACTGAGACTGAAAGGCCGGTTTATATATAAAAGATAAACATGGTCAATTACAAATGTTCCTAAACCAGGCAATTATGCATCTTGCAAGGTTTTTATGAACCTGTTAAATAAGCCATGCAATTCATTTATGTGAAATCATACAAAAAATAAACAAGTGCTTACTCATGACAGACAAAAGATTTGGCTGAATTAAAATACTAAAGTAGAAGAAATTAGGAAGTTTGAAGAATAATTTGTAATTCTTCTCTCTTTTATTTGATAAAGATAAGAATTTGGGTTGAAAATTCCCTTTAAAAGGGTTCAATGGCCAGTTGCTCTCCCAGGAGCTCACCTGGCTGGCCATCTGATTGGCTAGGCAAGCCTTCTTCAGCTCCATGGATCTCGTGTCACAGTGGAAGGTGGACATAAAGCGTTCGCCATCTTCGCGATACTTCAGCTACAAGGATGGCACATGGATGACAAGCATTAAGCCAAGGCCAGCGAGCATTTGCACATGCAGACGCTGCACATGTGACTGCAGCATCCATTTTGGTAGTTGGATGCTACTAATCACCTAAAAATAAAAATATATTTTTTTTACTGCTAGTCCTAACTGGTATTGCTTTACTTAAACAGTGCCAAACATCTCTCTATTCTTGTGCTGCAGGAGAACCTGAGCTGAAAAGCTAAATGATGAAGGGATAATGTTAGAGAGCTGGTATTAATAACTAAGATGTTCCACTCAAGATGGTACAAGACCTGCCCAGAACAAACCAGAATAGAGTACTTTGTATATCATCCTAGAGTTGTAAAAACCATCCCAAACTAATCTTAGAATAGCTCTATGTCAGAGGAAGACACAGGACAGAGTGACGTCTCTAGAGCATCATCGCCTAAAGGGTATAAAGTACAATCAATAGGAATAAGAAAGCAAAAGCTGCATGTTAACCCAAGCAAGATATACACTTTTAAAATGTTCAGTGGGGTAAATCTAGACAGGGGGTTGAGGGCCACTCACGATCCGAGGTCAGCCCTCAGATCAAATGTTGAAATGTTAATTCCCACATCCCTCCAGTGGCTTAAAACAGTAGCCGAGGCGCTTGCTAGCCTACTGCTAATATAAGCATGAGAGCCTTGCGTGAACTTAGAGGCACAGACAGACTCAGACAGACAGAAACAGGTGGCTGAGCAGAGGAGAGGAAGGGATGTGAAGCTGTTTTTCCTGACATATAATTTTAGCCCGTTGAAGCATAAAGTGGGCTAAGTGGAGGGGGGTATCTAGCCCCTGTCAGGGAAACAGAAATAACCTGAGCCAGTCTCCATTCCAAACCACCTCCGTCACCACGGCCTCAGAACCACCGACCACCTCTCGTAAAGAAGGATTTAGACCTTTGTGATCCAACAGTAATGGATACAAATGCTCAGGGTCAAATCTCAAGTTTTTTACTGCCTTTTTAGACCTCGGTGTTCAGTATAAATAACAATCTTTAGAGTAGACACAGCCATAAACTGTCTTTCCTCTAGTGCCATAGACAGCAACAACAATGCCAGTGAGTCAGAGGACTGAAACATGTTGTATGGCATGCATGCTGCTGCTGTGGTTTTGCTCAGGATGTCCTCTTACCTCACTGCTGGCCTTACTTTGCTTCTTTGCGTTAATGTTGATGGGGGTCTCATAGACGCTTGTGAATGTGTTGTTCCTTGGATTGTGCCTGAAAGGATGAGATACACATATAGTTGCCAACATGGTCACACCAGGTGTAATTCACAACGTTAAAAATGGGACCCTGGCTATTGTGCAATCGTGGTTTACTAAGATGCAGTTAATTTGCCTCCTCTGTGCTTTACTCATTAAAAAAAGATTACGTTTTTATTTATTTTTATCATGTCTGGTGATTAACTACAAACGCTCAATAGGCATTGCAGTAGCATTGACTCCTACTTACACAGAGCAGTATGGCCTCTTCTTGTGGCTGACAAAGTTATTTGGAGTGAGTACCATTTTGCAGACATCACAATGAAAACATGCTTTGTGCCAATTCTGCCAAAAATGAAAGAAAGAAAAAGAAAGACAGACCATGAATCTTTAAATCCGTGTTCAGAGGAAACATGACTGGAATCTAGTTCATTAAGCAGAGAAAAAATGCTGGACAAGTAATTTCTGTTATATCTGATTAATAAGAGGCCCAGAATAACATCAGTAATCACATCACATTTTTCCACTCAATGACCGATTCTCTAAAGCTTTAATGTCACTGCTAAACTGTAAGTCTTTTTTTTGTCCAGTCTTTTAATTAAAAACAATCTTATATCCATAACCATTGTGCAGCTGTTATTAGTTTTATGGCTAACACAGACACATTTGAGAGTTCACTTTAACCCAAGAAGGCATTTATTTATAAATGCTTTAATGTATTACCTGGTCAATGCAGTTGATCTTCTCAGCTGGGTAGACCACAAACCCACACCTGGCGCAAGACTGCATGGTGAATGTTTTCCCTTCTTCTCAAAATCTCTCGGGAAAACCAATAAAACTATTGGCCAAAATGAAGTCGGGTCAGTCAGACGGACAGACGGCCCTTTAGCTGAGGAACTGGGAATCCCAGACAGTAGCGGTAGTGCGTCTCTGGTGGCTGAAAACTTAGCTCTGTGACTGTGGGACTGTGAAACTGGCTCTTACTTCACACCATGTCCCATGATGGACCACCCCCCTTCTGTGCCCCGTGCTCAAAGACTGGCCGAGTCCAGCTGTCTGTCTGCAGTGAGGGGGAAACAGAGTGACAGAGAGTTCACGTGTCAATCTATATGTGTAATGATCCTCAGTTGGACAGCTACCTCAACTTTGAGTATCTCCACATGACTAACAACATAAAACTGTGATTCCCTGTGTAATACTTTTACTTAGTCAAGTCATCAGCCATGCATGTAAACACAAAGTGTAGGCTGCTTGTTTAAGGCAAGTTTCTGTAGACTTACAAAAGATGTAAAGAATAATGACACAGGATTAATACAGACATACGAGAAAAAAATACACAAAAAGTGAATACTAAAGAAAAAGGTTAACGCAACATTAGCAAACAGCTTTTTTGACATAAAATGAGGCAATCAAGACCCTCTGAAGCTCAAAAGGGTCAGGGCTGTATTCACTGTAGGAAGACTGTCATGAGGTTGAGGTTTTTAATCTAACTGTGATAATAGGTCACATACCTTGACCTCATAGGATTTTTTTTGTGATTTTTGATAGATTAAATATGCAATAGGAGTAAATATTTAATACTTTGAAATTAATTGTTTATAGAGTATTCTTATACTTGAAGGAAATAGTTTCATATTAGGGAATTAGTCAGTTATAACATATTACTTTTCTTTGCGTGATCAGAGACGTTCGATGTTTGAGGTTATTAACTTCAGTCTATAATGTGACATTTTATCTGTGATGTCTTAAAATGCTTCTTTGATTTTCTAATGGATCAACTGTTTTAGTCTAAGATACAGTAGGACTTCTTGTGCCTTTTACAATTTCATTACAATAAGAATAGAAACAGGAGCAGAAACAGAAATACTCTGTTAGATAAAATAATTTTAAAAATAACTAAATAAGCTTGAATTACTAGCAACCAAGATACAGAAAATAACAATTAAATGACTTGTGTAATAGCCACAGATAGAATGGATCTCTTGGAGTGCTCAGAGATCCTTTGGGCCAATGAGGCTGTTGCTGTGTGTGCTGCAGTGACCAATCAGAGAGGCATGTGTCGGGTGGGATAGATTGCCCATGATGCTGAGGAGTTTCTTCAGCATCCTGCTCTCACACCTCTACTGGAGTCTGACGCTCCACTCCCAGAACTGAACCAGCCTTTTAGTTTGTTCATTCTGCTGGCATCAGCTGCTTGCACTCTGCTGCCCCAGCTCACATAGAAAACCACACTTGCCACCAGAGTAATAAACATAGACTGATATCGAAGGCTCTGAGCTTCCTTCCATTTGTAATTTAGGGCAACATTAAACAAATTAATATACATACCTGGCATAGATTATTCGCTTTATGCTGTATTATTATGTCTTCACCGGCCAGCACAGAAAAAAAGCCTTAATTTACGTTTGTGGATATAAATTTGATCAATATGCTACAGGTAAATGCTGTCACGAATATTTCTGCTCCAGAGCAACTAAAACCTTTCCCATTTGGAAGAGAAAAAAGATAAACCTTCATAAATCAATCTTGCTTTTACTGCATCCTTTATTGTTGTTGTTGTTGTTATTATTATTATTTGCAAACAACTAGTCGTTTTTCTCCTTTCAGAAAACAAGTGTGCCAAGTGTGCAGGTAGGAGGGACGCAGTGCTGTGACGCAGTTACGCAGTCGCGAGAAGTCAAACCGTACTTTCTCTTTCTTTCACAAGGAAGAAGGGACAGAAACTCAGAAGGAGACACTTTGGAGAACGAAAATAAGTCAGGTAACTTTAGTGCTACAGCAAAGTTCGCGTAACACAGTACGATTCAGCTTAACTTCACTCCTGTGTATTAATCTCTTTAGGTATACTTAAAGAAAATGAAAAGTTTATTTATGTATTTTTAGCTAAGTCGCTTTTCTGCTACATGCTAACCAGACATGAAGCTAACAAGTCAAGTTGAATGCCTCAATGTGACAAAGTGTTAATAAAAGCAGTCTAAATTTTGCTAGCTGTCCGTTTTCAAACCGTTGAGGTGGGACTGAAGAAGATTAAGGAAGTGAGGCAAACTTGTCTCAAAATAACGCCAACGTGTGGTTAGTTTACACCTAATGTAAGGAAAGCAGTAGGTTAAGTAAACCATAACGTTATGTTCGATTTGTGTGCTAGAAGAAGATGGCTGGATACGCCGGTGAACCCTCTGAACTTGGAGAGGGTGGGGGAGATGGGCCGGTGACAGACGAAACAGACGCCAAGCCTGACCGCAAAGGGAGATTTCTGCTATTTGGGAGGTGACTTCCTTTTTATTGCTTCTAAACATGAAAACCAGTTAACCTTCGAGGGAAAAAAAGGTCATAAGTTTGGGCCCTAAAAATAAACTCAGTATAACGCAAATAATCTACGTACTGTAATAATATAGGTATTAAGCTGTGGGTTTTGCTTTCATTATTATTCCCTCACTCATTTACAAGGTGTGTGTTCATTTACTGTGGTTGTATCAAGATAAGGTACATGTACTGGACACTTTGTTAGGTACACCATACTAGTACTGGATTGGACCTTTTTTTTTCCCTTCAGAAGTGCTTTAATTATGGAAAGGTGCTTGAAACCTCCCTCAGAGATTTTGGTCCATATTGACATGACAGCATCACACAGCTGTGTAGGAGATTTGTTGGCTGCACATCCATAGTGGGACTCTCACTCTGCCGCATCCCAAAGGTGGACTGAGATCTTGGGGATCATCTCAAGTTCAAGAAACCAGTTTGAAATTATCTGGATTTGTGACACAGCACGTAATTGTGCTGCAAGAAGCCGTCAGGAGGTTATACTGCAAGCATAAAGGGATGGTTAACATCCCTCAGATAGGCTGTAGTGTTGAAGAAATGTTAAGCTGGTGAGCCAGTGTGAAGGTGAGAGATGCTCTTCTACCTAAATTGATTGTTACGAATGTTATCAGCTTGACGGAGTCTGGCTGACCTCATCTAACCTCGCTGGATAGTTTCTCTTTTTTTGGACCTTCCTCTCTAAACCCCAGAGACTGTCGTGTGACAAGATCTCAGTAGATCAGTAGTTGAAATACTCGGACCGTCCCATCTGCTACCAGTAACCATGCCACATTTAGTCACTTAAGTCACCTTTCTTCCCCGTTCTGATGCTCAGTTTTGAACTTTAGCAGATCATCTTGACCATGTCTACATTCATAAATGCACTGAGTTCCTGCCATGTGATCGGTTGATTAGATGTTTGCAATAACAAGCAATTGAGCAGATGTACCTAATGAGGTGGCTGGTGAGTGTGTAGTTTTTAAACCATCCTATCATCTGTAGCATAATCTATGTCTGTTTTAATTTGCTTATATTTTTCTGGGGATATTGTCACCTGTTATGATTTGTTTGTGTTGGATGTGCAAACTTTCTTTTCTTTTTTTTCATGGTTCTTCCACATCTGTATATGCCCCACAGATCTTACAGTACACACGTCATAACACATAAACATAGCAAGCAAGCTCGCACTTTGCATAAAATTAAAAAGAAGGTTTTTACAGAATAGAATAACAAAAGTTATAACAAAACTCTGTTTCTGACTGCTTCAGTATTCCTGTAGATACTATTAGAATTGGTTTGCAAGTAATTTGTGGCTCGTCTTTTTATTTCAATGGTAGTCTTCTGTTGAAATTTGCTTTATTATTCTCTAATTTAGAAAAGAAATTAAACCCAAAGTGTATTGATTTAAATTACTCAGACATGTATTTGCTCATTTTCTCAAGTAAAACTATTGTGGTGATTAAACCACTTCCACATAGGATTTGTGTCCACAACCACACAGTTATTTTTGGACCACACACAGCCGAGCACTCTCAGTAAGATCCTGGATTCAGTATCTGAAGGTGACTGTGGTTTCACAGCTAATCAAAACCTAAAAAAGTAGACTGTAAAAATACCCTTGATTTTACACAGCGACCTGGTTTTGAATAGCCCAATTAAGGCAATGGGTCACAGAACATGAAATCAATCTTAAGTCTAATTCAGGGACAGGGGTCAGTCCTCAAGTGGCTTCTCAAAATTAGACCATAGCTGAGGCCAAAATCATTCAAAATGTGCATTCATTATATTATGGAGTGTGGGCCTTTTAACAATATGCAAATTTGTTTTGTAAACTGATCACTGACACAAAGAGCTGTTTATTCCAGTCTTACTCACAAGGTGGCACTCTGGACCTTTTTAATGGAGAAGTATAAAGTACGGCAGCTGTGTTTTCCCTCAGACACTGGTAATCAAGCAAAAAGGCTCTGCGCTCCGTCTGGAATTTAGATTCTTACCCAAAAATATCAAGATAGCAAGCAATAGAAGATGTAAAAAATACTATATTAAGGAATTATTAATGAAATTCACATTCATTTATTAATCATTTGTAGTGTGCTTTGGTGTTCATCAAAGGAATATCTTCTTGGAAAGAAATATTTTCTTTATTTACTTATTTATTTAGTTGCCTTTTGTCACAAGTGTAGATAACAAGTATGAAAATCCATACAGGTAGATTCTGTACCTGTCAGCAGAGGAGCTACTTGTTGCCCTGTCTGACCTCAGCAGGGAGAGCGAGGCACAGGGGCCATGTGTGAATAGGCCTTTAGAAAGCACTGGTGTGATGGTGAGGTTGCTGACTCAGGGGCCTCACAGTGCGCCGCCCCAGTCAGGTCTCCATCCAGAACAGAGAGCATGTCAGTATCCTAGCACACAACCAAAAATTACGCTTCCAGGTTTGGAGAAACTTGTTTTTTTGTGAGGGAACAAAAGACACAAGACGAAAGCAACGCATTTCAGATGCAGAGTGGCGTAGCGCTTAATGACGAACCCAGGTAAGACAGACGCAACGGCCTCCTATTCCGCTCGACTGTCTTCCTGCTGTACCTGCAGTGCCCAGGGTCTCAGCTCTTTGCACAGCCTCGTGCAGTTGTTTGGTACAGTTGGCACAATTTGGAAGTGGGAGGGGGCTAGAAAAAGTTCTGGATCACATGTTTTTTTTGTTTGTTTTTTTCTAATATGGCTGGGCAGCCTGTGAGTGAGCACGCAACACTGTTGGTACACATTGCTGTGCATTGTTCCCATGCTTGAGTAAGCTGTTGACTAGGCTCTTCTGGAAAAAGCCTTGATTTTGTGAGTCCCTAATGGGTCACTGTTGGCTAAGCTATCTGGATGGATATTGTAAAGAATGGAAATATGACAGGTGTGTGAGAATTACCACTCGTGGAGGATTTCTTCTTGCTCAGTATAGATTGCTGTTTTTATGATTTTTTTTTTTCCAATTATCTGCGTTAAACAAAAATGTTCTAGTTTCTCCTTAAATCTTCCTTTGGATTTCTGCAACCAACTTTGGCCGTGACTTTAATGCCTTATTTGGAAATGTATGTACCCTTTGGTTTCTAAGTAAGTAGTTCGTGTTGTTTTCAGTTTAATGTGTGTTACTTGTTTTGAAAATTTTACTTAAGGATCATTCATTTGTAGTATTTTTTTGTATTTAAATAGACATCTCAGCTGCAGGAAATTTTAACTGAGAGAAATTTGACAAACTGTTTTAGCTGTGCAATATAATATAACTGTTTTTTTATTGTCATTGTATAAAAGCAGGAAGAATAAGGATGGCCAGACGCGGGAGCAGGACTACTCTTCTGAAAGCCATTACAGAATTGTTTCACCAACATTCCAGTATAAGATGAGCCACCGGCGAGTGGGAAAGTGCATCATCATCAATAACAAAAACTTTGATGAAAAGACGGGTATAGCAAACCTTACTCAAACGTATAAATTCAGTTTGGCTCAGTGTTATTGCATATTGAGTTTGTAATGTAAGCGTTCTTTTTTGACAGGGATGAATGTACGCAACGGCACGGATCGAGACGCAGGCGAGCTTTACAAGTGCTTCAAGAACCTGGGCTTTGATGTCATTCTTTACAACGATCAGACATGTGAGAAGATGGAGCGTCTTCTCCGAGAGGGTAAGTCATGTCATATAGATAACGAGACTTTTCTCTTTTTTTTTTACATTTTTCTTTTTGTTGTGATGGTGTTTCATATTTAATATTTAGATCCAAATGTAGGCATATATTTTCTTTTGTAAGCCACTGTAGTTGACGGAAGGGTTAGCAGCACAAAGGGTATTATTTAGTTACATATAGTTATATACTAGTAATCTGGTGCCTTTTAATGTGTAAAACAGGGAGGCCTTTGGTCATATACACCCTCTTTGATCTTTTGTGGGCCCGCGAAATGAAACTTCCTTCTCTGTCATTGTACAGATATTTAACTACACATTTAGTCACTTAGATATTTTTATATTAGAAAAATGAGCACAAGTTCAACATTGCGTGTATGTTTTTCAACATGACAAAGAAATGCTGCTTTAGTAGATGAAAGAAATGTGTCAGTATGAGTCTTAAATTGTAAGAAGCAAATGTGTAAAATTACAGAAATCTATTATTTACTTACTTAAGTGAAATATGAATGGTGATAGGGAGATCTCTATCAGTAGGAAAACCTGTAAAAAGTACAAAACTTGTGCTCTCCTTCACATTTTTCAAAGCCATCCAGTAGAGCTGTTCAATATAATGATATCGGATGACGATATGAAAATGTCTATCGTTTCATTTTACGCTATCGTTTGTTTTGTGGTGTCGCAAAATAAACCGTTTACGGCAATATTTTTTCATCGTTTTGATGGTCACTGTAGTGGTTTTATTAATTTCCTAAAGTTCTCACTTTCTCTTATATTTAAAATAACCACACTACGGATGGACAAGCCACTATTTTTACGCGTTGTCATTAGCAACGTGTGGCGCCACCATCCTTTGTTTATTTTCCACATAAACCTTTCACAATAAAGCTGAAGATCCTGTTGAGATTTTTCAAAATAAACTGAAATGATGACAAACTAAAGGACCTGTCAAAACAAAGTGAGGAACTTATTTTTAAACGAGGGGCCACCTCTGTTGCATGGACATGGTTTGGTTATGAAAAGTCTGACACGGACCAGAAAACTGTACTATGCAAATTATACAGGAAACCAGTCCCCACCTCACACTCAAACAAGGCTCTTCTACCTCCTATGCTAGAATCATGTGAAAGAGTACGGAGAACGTTTATGTCAGGTGCTCAAAATAAACCTTGGACTTAAACGTTAAAACAGGCTTTTCTCAGCAGCACGCCGTGTAATAAATACTCATAAAGAAAATGCCTAAAAATGTATAGTTTCATGCATTGGTCAAAACACTCGACTCCAGTTACACGACACCCAGCTGAAAACACTTCACGTAAGCTGAGTTGCCTGAGATTCACATAATTTACAGAAAATGTAACATTTTTCTGATATATATCGTTGTCAGGACGATAAATGTCTTATATTGGGATATGAGATTTTTGGTCATATCGCACAGTCCTACCATTAAAGTCTTCCTTGGCCTGATTCTGCCTTATGTTAGACATCCCTGTTGTAAAATGACCAAGATGTGCAAGTTTAAATTAATAATTCTTGTTTCTTAACAACCACCACTGGTATAAAAGTAACACATCCTACTACTAAATTTAGCCAGATGTGTCTCTAATCAAAGTAACTGGAAGTCCAATAACCAGGTTTTATGATCATAAGACTATATGAACCTGTCATGTCAGTGATGCTGATAAATTTCTTCTTATAACAAAGGGCTCACTGGCATATTAAATATTTTGATGGGCTGCATTATAAATCATTCTTTATCAGTTAAATATATAACTTAGCTGAAATCTCAAATTCACGCTAAATAAACTTCAGACGTAACTATTAGGGACTGACTTTATTCATTGATCTAGACAGGTTTAACAAGGCCTGAGTCGAGCTAGGAGTTCAGTGTTTGTTTGTTTGTGTGTGTGGTTCAGCCTCGGAAGAAGACCACAGTGACAGCTCGTGTTTCGCCTGCATCCTGCTGAGCCACGGCGAGGAAGGAATGATCTACGGCACAGACGGAGCCATGCCCATCAAAACGATGACCTCGCTGTTCAGGGGGGACAAGTGCAAAAGCTTAGTGGGAAAGCCAAAACTCTTCTTCATCCAGGTGTGCATGGTTCATACTTGATTGTGTGACTAAAGTCTTTTATTGTAACAATAGCAGTGTTAAGTTACAGATTTGTGTGAACTTCTATTTGCTACTTTTCACCCAAATGGGCAGTTTGAACAGTTCTTTGCTGTGGAAATAGGTGAATTTGGCTTATCTCAGCTTTTAAAAACAGTTAATTTTGAATTGCTTCACCAGGTCATCGATGAGAAAACTACTCAGGATCACAATGAAATGTCATTTCATTTACTTCACCAGGCTTGTAGGGGTTCAGAATTTGATGATGGTATACAGACAGATTCAGGTCCACCAAATGATGCCCTGGAGACAGATGCAAATCCAAGACATAAGATCCCCGTAGAGGCTGATTTCCTCTTTGCCTACTCCACTGTACCAGGTAAACCTGAAATCCCAGTTTAAACAACATATTTTTCCTTACAGTAAAATACAATTGGTATATATATAAGTGGAGAAGCATTTCCTGAAGAGTTTAGTTTGACTGATTTCTAGTTTCATTGCTCACTAATGATGCTTATTTTCCAGGATATTACTCATGGAGGAATCCTGGGCGTGGCTCCTGGTTTGTACAGGCGCTCTGCAACGTCCTGAACGAGTTTGGAAAACAGCTGGAGATAATGCAGATCCTGACACGGGTCAATTACATGGTGGCCACCAGCTTTGAGTCCTGGTCTGAAGACCGCCGCTTCAGTGAGAAGAAGCAGATTCCCTGTGTGGTCTCTATGCTGACAAAAGAACTGTATTTCAACTGACTGCCGATCCACCTGACTGTACTGTAATGGTGACACAGACTGACCGACTGACTAACTAGACTGACTAGACTAGACTGTTTCAGGTACTGATTAAGCAGTCAAAGCATTCAGGGATGATTCAGGCCTGGCAGGACGCTTCATATTTCATGCACATATGACATTTTGCATGTGGACTTGGGGCCGAAAAGCACTACATGAGAAACAAAAACATTACAGTGGCACATGGCGTTCATGTGTTGATAGTGAAACTTCTTCCTCTTCTTCACATTCTTCCACTTCTTCAGAATAATGGTGTCACATTTGATCTGATCTTCGTTGACAGGCGTTGTGAAATATCCATGTTATTCTACCAGCCCAGAAAATTTGCTGCCAGGTTTTGTGGGTTTATAGAATCGTCTATACGTCACACCATTTCCAGCATTTGCAGTAGATGTTTGAAGGGACTGAACCCTATGAACACGGGCAAGCAAGGATGGGCAAAAGTTGGCTTTTGGTATTATACGACTCCCAGTGGAAAGACATTTTGTCATTTTGACTGATCTAATATGATTTGAAAAACTAAATTAAGCCCCTTTTAAGATTCATTAGGCAGTTTATAGAAATCTTCAGTAGGAAACTGAAATGAGTGATTACTAGAACTTTGATTGCTGTAGGAGTGTTGAGGGACCTGCCTTCATTACAGACCCTGTGCAATGAATTGTTAAAGAGAAAAATGCCTTTTAAAATGACTTAGATCATTTTCAGCTACCTGTATTTTAAAGTTTCTACTGTCAATTGTCAGAAAAAGAGACAAAAGAAAAGACAAACAGATCAGAAACATGTCAACCCTCTTGCCAAAGGCTTCTTGTCTCAGCCTTCCTAGCAAGTTTTAGTTTGTAGCAGAAAGCTGGTATCCTCAGGTTCTTTAATGTCCACGAAGTGGGTAAATGTCATGTTAATTTCATATCCATAGTGGTTAGGAAGATGTGATTGTTTGCTGTGTAATGATTAGTTCAGTGAGGTTTTGGGTCAAGTGCATAGCATAGAGTCCGCCCTATTTAAACTCAAATAAGTTAATCTATGCACCATTATGCAGTCAAAAAACTGTAATGGATTCTGCTTGTTATCTTTAGAGTTCTTCTTCAATATTTTTACTAAAGAATGAAATAAATGCTGTATGATTATAACACTAGATAGACAAAAGAATGTCCAAAGCTGTGTTGTAAATTTGTAAATATCATAGTCTTAACTTGAACTCAGGTTAAGACTATGTGCCTTAAGCACAAATGCCAAATCATTTTACTCAGTACATTTATGTTCTCTGCTTATACACTACACAGTAGTAAACTATCAGTCTCATACCAAATCTCTTTTATTCATTTTTTTAAACTGTTGCTATGCTTTCCTTATGCAATTAGGACATATAACCACCACAAGAGCTCATGACCAAGACACCAAAGACCCTAAACTCCCCCAGTTAGGGTATTAACTTGTCCCAGACCTGAAGTGGGCTCTGTACCATTTAAAAGCATGGCCTCTGACTTAGAGGGGCTGATTCTCATTCCCATCACTTCACACTTGAGGGGTCGAGTGTGAAGTGATAGGTCACTCTACGGGTCGCTCTGCATTCCTGCCCTTAAAGATAGGTGGAGTAGAGCCACCACCTCTTCATATAGCAAGGAACCAGTTGCCCGGGGCAAACCCAGGACTCTGGGGAGATTACATCTCTTGGCTGGTTTGGGAACAACTTCGTGTCTCCCAGATGAGCTGGAAGAGGTGGTGGGATGAGGGAAGCCTGGGTTTTCTGCTTAGAATGCTACCCCTGCAATCTGAACTCTGATAGGCGGCAGAGAATGGATGGATGGTACAGACAAATTTCTAAACAATTTAATGAATTAATTAATTTGTTTCAACTTAAACAAAGTTTGTTTCTGCAGATAATGTGTTATTGAGTGTTTTTAATTACAAAGGCAGCTATTACTGACATTCTGAACATACACACTCCACATGTCCACAATCTCGCTTTTTCTAAAAGGTTTTTACCATAATTCATATAACTGCATGTCTCAGTACCTTAGAGGGGGAAGTTCAGCAGTTGGTTTCATTTTGTTTTAGCTTTTTTATGCTTTTTTAATTAAATAAATATATTTTATTATTATTTTTTTTTTAATCAGGATGGTATTCCCCATCCGTGTCCATTGTACCCACAAGTGTTAAATCTTCTCAACACATGGATCTGTGATGAGCGATGTAGTGCCTAACCTGTGCCAAAAGGAGTTTTTGCTCCGCTTATTGTGGAATGGAGTTGAAAAAGGGGGAAAATGTGTTTAGGGGTAGAAATTTTAAATGCTTTCAGGTTTTAAATGCTGTTGTCCTCAGGAATATATTTGAAAAGATTTGGGAAAATGAATGACTGAATTCATGATTTATTTCTTTTTTATTTGGGGCAATACATTATTTAAACAACTTCAAAATAAAGAAATGCTCATGTAAACAGTTCATTGTATTAAACTTACACACTTTATAATGTAGTGAAGTCTGTATCATTTGTCTTGCACATTTGTAAACAGACCCCATTGAAAACATTGTTTTTTGGTAGGATGGTGCTTACATACATACAAACATATTATGAAGTCACTGGGTATTTTTAAATGTTTCCATGTGTTTCACTCAGTGCTCACCTAAAATTTGTACTTGTATTGGTAAAAACATTCCAGGATCAGAATGGATATTAAAGTTTTTAAAAACATTTCTCTCATTGTCATCTTAAAAACATTAATTTTTTTTTTTAGGTCGTGAATGTCAAACCATAAGACCTGCAGACCAGCAGTGCCCTAGCAAAGTCTAATCTGGCTCACTGAATGGGTTTACTGTATAAGCTGTGAAAAGCACAGAGAAGGAGGGGCTCATTTTTGGAGCTTTTGTATTTCCCGCTAGGAAGCATGACTTATGTTGTGATAATAGTTGTTCACTTTGCTCATTTCAACCAAGCCAAAGATCTGAATCACCTTACTGATAACATCATGCCTGTGGCATCCTATAATGAGATTTTTACCGTAAGTCAATCTATGCTGGAACATCTCTTTGAATTATGAAAACAGTTGGTTAAAAAGCGGATGAACTACTAATATCATATTTTCTGTAAGACAACTCGGGTGATTTTTTTTTTCTACTATTTTCAGGTTTGCATGTGTGTGTTTAGTCCATGAACTAAAATCTGCAATAAAAATGAAAATAAACTCTTAACACTGATGTATTAATCATTCAAACCTAAAAATAAAATAAAAATCATTTAAACTGTAAATGCAGTAAAACCATACCTGGATAGAAAAACACACAATGGAACACTATCAGTCATGGATTGGCCTCCCCAGAGCCTGGATGTGAAAGTTATTGAACCAATGTGGGATCATCTTGATAGAGAACGGAAAAAAAGACAGCTAAGACCCTAAGAAGACCTCTGAACGTCCTTCAGGAAACCTGGATAATGATTCCTTTAGAGCAGCTGAAGAAATAATGAGAGCATAAGAAAGCTTGCTTAAGAAAGTTGAGGCTTTATTGAAAAATCAAGGTGTTTCAAATATTGACTTTCAAGCTTATTAGAGTTGAACAAACTTCCACTTTTCCTTTGCCGACTTAATTTTACCATGTATGTTTGCATGTTTCGATAAATTGTTGCACTAATTGTTTAATTGTTGTTTCAATAATCCTATTACATCACATACTGGTTATACATACCAAAGCTTATTTAACTCTAAAGATATGTAAGCTCTGGTATGCATACACGTGAATGATGGTAAACAACATGTGCAGTAAATCTAAAACAGAAATGCTTTAAAAATTACTTCATACTAACATAGACTTGCTTGTAATCAGGGCTGCGGTGCTGTATCAACAAAGTAAACAAAGCAAACGACTCACTACCGGTACTAGTCCATAGCCCGGGGGTTGGGGACAGGAAAGGACAGAGCAGGCTGTACCTGCTGTGGAGGCTTAGGTCGTTTGGAGTGAACGGCCCACTCCTAAAGACCTTCTATGACTCTGTGGTGGCCTCTGACATTTTTTACAGTGTGGTCTGCTGGGGCGGCAGCATCTCTGCAGGGGACAGAATGAGATTGAACAGGCTGATCCGATGGGCCAGCTCTGTTCTAGGATGCCCTCTGGACCCAGTGGAGGTGGGGAGTGACAGGAGAATGGTGACTAAGCTGTCATCCCTGCTGGAGAACATCTCCCACCCCGTCCAGGAGACTGTGACAGCACTGAGCAGCTCTTTCAGTGGCAGGCTGCAGCACCCACGATGTGGGACGGAGAGATTTCGCAGGCCTTTCCTCCCCACTGCTGTCAGACTCTACAACATGGTGTCTGCAGAGGCCCACAGATGTGCAGACAGACACACACACACACATCCCATACACATTTGTAACTGCCTCCCTTTCTCCTTGATGTGCAATGGCACATGTTTATCTCATTCTATTCTATTGTTTTTCTCTTCTTTCTCTTAAGTTTTCACTGTTCGTGTACCAAAAATTTCCCACGTGTGGGACTAATAAAGGTTTATCTTATCTTTTCTTATTTCTGGGTAAACTCATAGCTTGCAACATCTTTTCAGTGACAGGATCGTAAGATCTGATGAACAACAATAGACTGATGTAAGACTTAGAAGCTGTTTAATCTTGAAGTCATCCATTTCAGTCAGGTCTGGATCAGCCAGTTTCAGTGTCTTAGAAATTCCAATTTCACACAAAAGAAAGAGATTAAAGAAGTAATGAAAAGCTAAAGAGGTGTTTTTAATATCTGTCAATCAAAGTTCTAACCAGAGGTTTCTGCTTTGAGGTTTAATCTAAACACTGGATCTTGTTAGTCAACTAAGAATCGATTTGTCATTCCACTGCACCAGGAAATGCTCCATTTGTTTTCAGTAAGGAAAAACAGGCTGTGCAGTAAATAAAGTGGCTCAAGGTACTGGTAAACGCCACAACTTGATTTTCAGGGTATTCTCCCCTTTCGGTATTTCCCCCAAAATATGTTTGGTATGTCTGGGCACTCTACTCTGTTAAAATATTGTACTGTAGGTACCTATTGTGTCACATGTGAGTAATATATACCTCACACAAAGAGGTTTTGAAGCAAGCTGTTACCTCAGAAAATGTGACTGTTTCTAGATCCTGTTAAAGATATATCAAAGAACATATGATAATGCTATTTAATGCCAGTGAGAGAGATATACATTGAAATTCAATGGCACAAGCTGGGCTCTTTACTTTATGTCTACCTGAATATTACTTTCCTCAGCAGTGATGTTGACCAGTTTCTAGCTCCTCTGTGGCCTCGGGCCATCTACAATTCACTTTGCGTCATCCTGTCTCTTGTTTATTTGATCCTTTCCTGTTCTAGTCTTTATCTGAAGTTAAAGTGGCCAAGGATTTAACACCTGAGCAGATTACAATTTCAAGAACAAGTGTAGTGAAATGTCTTGGATAGAAATCAAACTGTAGGCAGAGCTTTGTTTTCAGGCATGCCAGGCACTAAATCGGTCACAGTGATAAATGTTTGTGCAAGAAAAGGAGGCCAGTTCAAAAGTTCATAACATAGTGTAACATCAAAGAAAAGACACTAGAATGAGGATTTATTTAGTTGTTTATTTATTTTTGGTGTGAAGAAGAAAAACATTATTAAACAAAACATTGTTAAAATGTTTCACTTGCAAATATCTTTGTGCTGAAAACTAAACTGTCAATGTATTAATCAAATACCTAATCTAATATTTTTAAAATGATTTTTAATTCTAAATTTCTAATCTAAGTGCACCTCTCCATGAATTGCACCATTTGCTTCCCCAGTTGACAGCAGGAGGTTAGCTAGCAGGGGCACCTCGCCTCGGGAAGGGTCTCCCAAGGCAATCTTGTCCTGTGTGAGGAGCCAAAAGCAAGAATGATTCATAACAGCTCTATAAATACATAAACAACCCAGAAACCTTGCCATTAATAGGGACACCAGGTCCCTGCCCTGGAACAATACCTGGAAGAAGTGGCCTTTGGTGAGTCTCTGGTGCCTGCCTGGGCTGACTCTCTTGTAAGCCCATTACTTGCAGAGGGAGCTGCTGAGTCGTTGAGTGCTTTTAGATGAGATGACACTCAAAGTCAGAGGCCTTGGTAGGCTGATTCCTAACTATTAAAATTAGCTTTAAGGATATTGTGTATAGCTTGAGAAATTAATATAGACTGGTCCATCAAACTTTACAGCACAGCTTCTTGGATCAGCTTCCTGTTTTGGCTGAGAGGGGTGGTTGGGGGTCTGACTGTTGCGTATGTATTCTTTGTTTATTTTTCCTAAAGAAGGGAGATTTGATAATGCTTTCCAACTTCGAGTAGATGAACTTTCCGAGCCTCTGTGGAAAGGTCTCTGGGAGGGAACTTGGATGTTTGCCCGGCCAGTCTGTATGTGGGTTATGAGTATTAGAGGTGATCACTGTACAGCCTTTGTGAAAGCATGAAATGATCCATGGTGGCTGTTAATCTCCTCCAGAGTTGTCCTTTGTCAAGACTTCTGTTCAGAAGTTGTTAGGTTGTTGTTTGGTATTTGGCATGATGATACAAATGGTTTGGATGAAAATTGCTGTTTTTTGATTATATATACAAAATCAAATTCTTCCTATTTTCATTTTTTTAAACTACACTACTGACCAAGTTCAGGTGGGTTCAGCATATGAAAGCAGTCCACTAGTGCAGATAAATAGCAACAAATGCAAACAAAATTATAAACTAATCCCAGATGTCAATCAGTATTTGTATTGTATTCTTTTTACTGAGACCCAAACACTTAAAAGTTAAAGAGAACAATAGACATACTGTTATTTCCACCTGCATGGCTGCCAGTTACTGGCCGCTATGCCTCTCTTTGCCACTGCAGGTGCTGCTGATGTTTCAAAAGCATTTTCTGAAATACATACAGGCAGAAAATATGAAGAAAATTAAAAGAAAGAGTTCAAGAACTCCAGGTAAAAGAGGTCCAAACACCATGAAATGAATCAAAGTCATTGAAAAGTCTTCTTGAAAAGTGGACGCGCCCTATGTCAGCTGTGCCCTTCCCACCAACTTTGCTAATACAGAAGTACAGTACTTACAGAAGTGCTACTAAAACCTCACTAACCAGAGGCAGCACAACCACAAGGGCTCTTATTGCCCCCCCCAAACTGATGTAAATGCTTTCTTGTCAAAGAAGGGGAGGCTTGGGTTAATATATGTCACCTACTGCCTCTACTGTACTAGTGCCTTAAAAACTTTGAACACAAGAAGTTTTCTGGCGAAGATGGTCAAATAGACAGCTAAACTGTCAGATTTTCTGAAGAGTTATTCCATGTCCTACTAAACATGAAGCCCCTAGGAGCTCTATTAATACCAGCCTGACACTGGCCTTGATGCATGTGTGAGAGTACTTGTGACCCACATGCACATTTGAAGTAGTTTGTGAAGTTTTTGAAACATGGACAGTGCCTAATTATTTATATATCAAGTGCACACATGAGTGCCTGCTGCCAGAAAAAATTCAATTCATCCTGTTAATACCTGTTTAAAAAATTCTTGCCATGACCCAGGACCTTCATGCCAGGTACAAATGGCTCGTGCCCTATGGCAGCTGGGATTGGCTCCAGCCCATCCATTCATCCACCAACTCAAATTCTTATAGTTTAATCATAGCAACAAATTTTCATAAAAACTACATTTATTTGAGCTTTCTGTAAACAAAACAAACTGATGATGGCTCTGTATATTAAGTGTACATGTGGTTCCCTGGACTGCAGCAGAGTAAAACTTCTATTTCGTTAACTAGTCCAATAAATCATACTGGGTGTTAGGATGATAATCTGAGTCACATAAGCATTATGTTATTGATTACATAGTGACAGCTGCTTTGTGCACATTTCATCCAGTCAGCAAACAAGTTATTATGAAGATTATATGTTGACATAAGTCCCATTAAGTTTTTATTTTTTGATTACATAGATAAATTGTTTATCATGTTGTTGATGGGGTAATTATCAGGAAATCCAATAATCCCAATAATCAATTTTTTATTCAATGACAGAGCTAGATGGACAGATTGTGGGGAATTCCTTATGTTTTGCATTAATGCATTAAAATGTCTCCCTATGACAGCTGGGATAGGCTCCAGCGCTCCCCCGCGACCCTGAAAAGGACAAGCGGGAGCAGATGGATGGATGGATGGATGCATTAAAATGTTTCCAAGACTGTCACTGCAACAATCACAGGCCATTATTTATTTTTTTCTGCTGCTTTCTATTTAAAAAGTGTCAGGCTTTTCTCAAATCAGGTCAGGGCGCTGCTTCTCTTAGCTGTCTGTATGTGTTCGTATGTGTCTGTGATTCCTCCTGGAGGAGAAACACCTTCATTCCCATCCAGACCATTGCCCTTGCAGGCATCGGTCTCAAGGGATTGAGGGATAAGGGTCTGATTCGGTCTTATAATGCTGGGAAATGTTGATTTGCTATTTAACAGATGCAGCCCCCTTGACCTAAATGAACCTCACTCCAGCAATTAACATGAGACATCATAGGAAACATCTGCAAAGTCTGCAACACACATCTGGCCCTGCTAAGCTACATAACATTAAACATGTTAACAACACAAAAGCCATATTAAACACAGACTACTTTAGGCCCGGAAGTAGGATTCGTCACGTCATCACTTAACAATCGGATAGCTTAATGATTACAGGACATCAGACTACTTGTTCTTATTGTGTAATTATAAAGAAGTATCATACAGAAATAAATAACCTGAAGTTTCAACAAAAACATTCAACATTCACACTTTCCCTCATTCACAGTAGTGCTGTCCCACACTACAAATTTTGTTATTGATCCAATAACAAGTAAAGGGTTAGGGTTAGGGGTTAAGTTGCTCTGCATGTGTGTATGGTCAGAAGGGGGCCTATTTCAATAAAGACTTAATCAATCTTAATCAATGTGACCTGTTAGGGCTTTTATGCATTTTGCATCATGTTTAAGATAACTGGATTCACTAGGAAAAAAAGATTTGTGGGTATTGGCAAAATAGAAAAAAAAAGCCACCTCAGCTGGCTCCTTTCGATGTGGAGCATCAGCCACATAGCAGGGCTACTCTGAGCCCCTCCCGGATGGCCGAACTTCTCACCCTATCTCCAAGGGAGAAGCCAGCCACCCTTCGGAGGAAGCTCATTTCTGCCGCTTGCCACTGCCAAGACTGGCAATAGCTGTAATGCTTTGAGCATATCTTCTTGGAATCGCCTCTTCCGAGAAGGTGCACTTGAAGTTGTCACTCCAGTAACCAGAAATTCCAGTTCATATTAGATTTTTCCGGTCACTGTAAGAGATAAAAAACAAAAAAACAACCTGGCTTCTTAAACAGTTGCGCAGCTTGCCAGAGAGAGTGCGAGGTGAACAGCTGTTCCACAGGTAAGAATACTTATGCTGTACTTGTGTTGCAATTAGTAGTTTTTCTGTCTTTGTATAGTTTAAAGTCCATTCAACAGCAAGTTAGTGAGATAGGTTAATGCTCTTTATGAGTTCATACTTTGAATTCGCTGATTGTAAACGACTCACTTTCCTCCCTCTTGTGCTTGCACATGGGCATTTTTTCTCAGTGTTTAAATTCAACGACGTTTTTCTTGACATAAGCTTTGTGTTTGAATAGATTTATAGAGGAATTTATAGAGGAATGGGCATAATAAGGATAGTTTTTAAATTTTTTTTTGAAAGGTTGAGTTTCAGAGAGTGATACATTCTCATGTTATCATCTTCATCTTTTCAAAGGTTTGGTGTAAAAATGAAGCCAGGTATTGTATGAGATCTGGGAAACTTGATGGGTGTTTTTTGTTTTTGGTGCTGGTATTTCCTGGTGTTTTGTCAGCGCTTACGGTGTATTAGAAAACCTGTTTTTGCAGATGAGCACAGAAGGTTAATCTGACAAAGACAGAATCTAATGTACAAATCTGACACGTTTATTAACAGCTCATTTCGTCAACTTGCAGGAATTAAAACTTTTCAGTTCTTACATATTTTGCTGGTATTCAGCAAAATATGTAAGAACATACAAACATAGAACTGGAAATACAGATTTTTGTTAATAAGGCGAATCTTTAAGGTCACCTTTAAGCAAAAAACTACTAAACAGCCTTTTTGTTGCCCTCAGTTAGATGCAGTTTGTTCTATGGACCTCCCAAAGCAGTGACAGAGGTAAGAGCTGGATACCTGCATAAGTCTCCTCCTCCAAAACTGATGACAACAGAGGTAATATAACCCACTCAGTGATCCAGTAATTGTACTTATATTTGCAGTTCTTTGTGAAAAGTACAAAACATTGTTTAACCTTTTTTTTTGCAGAAAGCATGGAAGAAACGTTTCTTTATCCTGTTCAAGCTCAGTGACACAGAATATCAGCTCAAGTACTTCAGAAGAGAGGAAAAGGACAAGGCAGCTGGAGAAATAGACTTGTCACAGTAAGTTCTTGCATAACACTTTAAAAGCTCACCTTAAGCCATTAAGGTCTTTGAGAATGTAAACCAGCATACTTTTCTCTCCTTTGTTTTCCAGCATATTCTTTCACCAACACAAATGTGTGTTGAACTTTTAAAATACCAAATCTAAAAATACAATTTCATCTACATACATGTTAGAATTTGAAGTGGCACGATGCAAATAGGGCAGCTCTGCTTTTGAGGGTTTAACTTTTTTCAATCGCCCATCAGGGTCTCACTGTTGCATGTGAGTCCGCAGCATCATCCAAAATGGAACTGGATCCAGAAAAGCTTTAAATGCTCCCCTTCCTGTGTGCTCTTCATCAAGGCTACGGAACGGGAGTACTTCCTTGTCGGGGAGAACAGGTTAGTCAGCAGGGCTTTATGGGCTACATAAAGCTGGCATGCATTTTATTACACTGTCCTGTAAAAGTTCTAGGCAAACCCCAGTGCAGATTGTCATGTGGCGTTTTTCTGTTTCTTTTGTCTGTTGTGCCCAAGTACTGACTGCTGTTGTGTGTATGGACCCCTAGAATACAGAATTAAAAACAAAAAAAGGAATCATAAATGCTTTTCAAAATAAACTACAGTCATTTTGTTATGACAATGTCTGACTCATCTGAAGTGTGGATAAAAGCAGCCAACTTTAATGGGTGTAACTTTTTCAAAAGAGATTGGTTTATATTGTTTTCTTTGGGGGGGGGGGGGGGGGGGGGGGGGGGTTCCTGCAACTTTCATAATATGTTCCTGTAAGAGTAAACTGCATTAATTTGAAAGTCAGCAATGGCAAAACCAAGACAACAGGCTTTCAATTACATGTTCTCACCTCCCCCCTGCCCTTCACACCCTATTACTATTTTAGGAGGTTTCAACAATCAAAAAGACACCATAATGCTGCTTTCTGGTTTAGTAACATTTATCATCTGGTGACGGCTTTGCTCAAACTAAATTGCCCCTTTTTACTAAATTGTTATTATTTCCACTCTGCGTTTAGTTTTGGTATTGAATTTTAAATTAAACCCAGTAGTTGTCATTTGTGGAGCCTAAAAAGACCTTCATTGGTATCCTTTATTCTTCCAGCGACGATGTGGATGGCTGGTTCTCTGACCTGTTTGATGCAATGAAAAGCCGACCTCATCAACTCTCCTCTTCAGGGGTACATTTAACCTTTTTTTTCATAAAAATAATAAATACAATTTAATTATATGCAGTGTTTGCTTCTTTTGTCACTGACTTGGACTATCCTGCTCCTACAGGAGTTCCCTTATAAGCAGGCAACGATTGAGGTAAATACTCAAAATCTACTTGGCGATATCTACTCAACACATGCACAGCATCTGAGGAAAGCTTTGACATTAAAAAAAAAATACATTCACTTCACATGGAGTCAGTATCTGGTTACCTCAGCTTAGTTAAGACTGTAAACAGCTTGCCAGTTAACAAAATCCACCTACCAGCAGCTATCCGACGTATATCTTATTCGAAATCTGTATAAAAAATAAAAAGTCACGTTTTTATTATCTGTCAGAGTATTTCGGGTTTACAGAAAGATAATAAACTGTACGTTCAACAAGTTAATCGCCTGCAAACTCCTTTGTTTCCAGTCTTTGTGTTGAGATAAACAAGCTATACTACTTCTATGTTTGATCTCTAGAAAAGGAAGCAGATAACCTTGATATAAATATACAGTGCCTCCTTCTATGACAAAAATAACAACAAAAAAATCTCTTTTTTACAGGTAATTTCAAAACCACTCATCAGAAAGACGAATTCTTTCGCAGAGGCTGAAAAGGTTAGTCACCAAAAGCTCTGTGTTAATTTGCCTCATGCTTTCTCAACCAGAAAGCATCCAAACGCTAAATTATATCCTAATTTTTTTTTCTTTCTGCAATTTTCTTTGTTCTTCCAATCCACGCTTCTCAATTGCATAAAATATTTTTTATGGGGTTTGTCTTATCAGGACAATGCAAATGTTTGAATGTGTGCGTGTGTGATTTTACTTGTCAGGGATTCCTAAAATTCCGGTCAATGTCCGATCCGTCCTCAAACACTTTGGAGAATGTCACTGAAAAACCCGAGGTGCAACATCTTCACTTGACTTTTCGTAGATAGTAAACAAAATTACCTCTCTCCATTTGAGAATTAGACTTGACTGTATGCATTATTGCTTTGCATCTTACTCAACAGGAGCAAGCGGATCCTAAAAGACGCGCATCTGAGCCTGAGGAACCAATCTATGTAGTTCCAAGACCACAAAAAGTACAACTGGGATTAAAAATTATTTTCATTGCTAATTCTTTGGCCTGATCAATCATGTGTTTTCTCTATAAAATGACAAATAGAATATGTTCATGTTAGAGTTTTCCAAAGTCCAGGTTTGAAAAAAAAAAGCAGCACAAAAACTAAAGATAAACAGTTTCGTAGCATATGTGACAAATGATGAATCACATCTTTGATCAAAAGTACAGTGACTAAGACTTTTAGTAAAACCAATTTCTTTTTTCTAATTATGCACAGAATGTGAATAAAGATGGACCACCAAGTGGGGAACGACGCAACAGTGTGGAAGCATTGTAAGTATTAATTAATGTTTCCATTGTCATACAGACTTCTTTAAAACATGTCATAATGTTTGTTCTCATTTAGATATGAAACAATGAGTGGCTTCAAATATATTGAAGAATCAGCTCAGCCAGAGTAAGCATACAGAATTTTTTAAGATAATGACAATAATAATGATAGCTAACTGCTTATGGTTGCTGAAAAGGTAACCGTACCAAATGCCTCTAGGGACCATGAAGTTGAGGACGCTAACAAAAGCACGCTGATGAGGACCGTCATTCAGACCTTTGACAAAATGAAGACACAGGTGTCCCCGCTGCCACCGTTTGCTGAGGAGCCAGATGATGACAACAACAGGTAGCTCTCACGCAGTTAGTGGTCCTATCTCTGTTTGGCTTGTTTACTTCAGTCTTCTATATCAGTGCCCTGGAGCCCTTCGTGACATGTGTTGTGAGCACCCTACAAAAATAATAATCACAGGTAACTGTGGTGCCACGGGCACAAACACCTTGACAACAACCAGACTTATTTTTAGCGCACGGAACTGTTTACACTCCAGGAAGAGGCAAGAATTTATAAAAGGCAGCGTTTCAGAGCCAGTTTAGCAACAAATGTGCTTGACAACATGAAACATATCTTCTTATCTTGGGAAAGAAGTTGTGTCTCAACTCAACTCTGCCTCTACACTTGGACTGAACATCTTTACTGATTCATTTACAGTTAGGCTGTGAATGTGTGTTATGGCACAACTGAAAAAGGCCGATATATAAGCTAAACATATCAATTATATATCTCTCAGATTGGGTGAAACCGTTTAACATAATCTGTGTTATCTGTACGTGAATCCAAAGGCGCTTTTAAACTACACTTACTTGTGTGCATTATCTACTGTTGATGTCTGTTACAGATTATTTACACAAATTAATTTTTTTAAGTCCTTTTGCTTCTTATGTAAAAGCCTCTTGGCTTGCGTACAATAAAAACATTGTGAAAAGGTCAACTCGGGTAGCTTGCCTGGTAAACTGTCTCTTTTGTTCTGTCTTCCTGCCCTCACCCACAGCCGATCACAACAGATTTTTTCTGTTAAAAAGGAGTTTTTTCTTCCCACTGTCGCCCAGTGCTTCCTTATAGGCGAGTCTTTGTATTATTTTACAGTCTTTACCTTACAGTATAAAGCGCCTTGAGGTGACTCTTATTATTATTTTGCACTCTACAGACAGAATTCAATTAAACTGAATTTTGTCCTGTACAAATATTTTATGCTTTTTGCAGAGGATTGGGTTCCTATACTGCAAATCACTCACTCGTCATGATGTCTTTCTTAATAAATAAAAAGGAATCCCATCAAACAATACAAGGTTTCATCATCATCCTATATTTAAAGCACTGACGACAAACTGTTTCTTTCTTGCATTCATGCCTTTCTGTTTAACAATGATGTTCTTTGTGCAGGCTGAGGCTAGAAGGAACTAAAATTCCAGACTTGCAATACAGTGCCAATGACTGTTGTTGTATGCATGCAAAGTGTATGCAGCCAGACTACACATTTACTAATATCTGGTGTTTTATTTCCTTATGCTATACAGTAAACGCTGGTCTACAGATTTAAGCAGCAGCTCTAGTGACCGTGGTGCCATGTCCCCTGTTGAACTATTGGATGCATCTGAAAAAAATGACTCCAGTGAGAGGTGAGATTAGACAGGAAGTTGTTTTTTTTTAATTCAGTTTCATAATAAGCAAACACAATGTGCCAGTAGGTGTTAACCTGTATTAGGGATAAGTTGCTTTACTTGACACATGGACATGGTAGCATTTTAAAACCCAACTATAGCAATGTCTGTCATATAAAAATAAAAAAGTTGTCACCACAGTCTGACTTAACCAGAATTGAATGCTGACATGTTAGACTGGTTGGCGTGGTTTCTGGAGATTTCTACAAGAAGGCGATGACAGCTGGTGATAAGCAGTCTTTCAAAACAAAACAACAACAAGTCGTTGAAGTTTTATCCAAGAATTTAAATAGGTTATGTGTAAGAGTCCTGCCTGTTATCGTTTTCTTTTGTGTCTTCATGTCTATGTATGTCCCATGTCTCCATTTCAGTGACATCATGGTCTATGCTGAATGCTTTTTTTCTAATATGGGACCTTTTAATGCCTTTGTCTTACTTATTACTCTTCTCTTCCTGGCCTATATTTAGTCTGTGTGCTTCCCCTTTGCTTTTGTTGTTCACAGGTTGCGATCTTCCCCTCATTTCACTTATTGTTAACTAATTTGATTAAAACTGTGTATTTTTCATAATGTTTTTTGGGGGAAAATTTGTACAATTAATGAGTACAATAATATAAATTCAAGTTGTGAGGAAAGGTAGCTGGATGGTTAGATTTAGCTTTAGATGTACTTCTCTTACGGGTACAAGATATAACACTCCCTAATAAAGCTTTTGTTGTCTTTTAATTTTCTTTCAAGTATTGACAGAGAGATTGATGTGAAAGACATGTATTTCAGAAGGCAGTGCACACTAACTGAAGTAAATGGACAATCAAGTTATAAACGTGATATTAAAGCATGAAAGATCACACAGTTTGAACTGATTTGAGTCATACCTTTAAAGATTTGATAGAACAATGGATGTTGTTGTCTTTTGTCTTTCTTTCAAGCTCTGACCACAGAACAGAAGAGCGGGATATTATGGTGAAACAGGCAGACCTTAAAAACTACCTGACCCTAACAGAGGTGGATAGGAAGCCCAGGTGGGTTTATCAAAAATCAGGATGAAATCCAACAATCCTCAAACTGAAAATGTATTCACATAGGACTGCTTTGAGTCAGATAACTGAGAAGCCTGGTCTAACTGGAAGATGTAGTGTCAAATGTTTGACTAAATGCTTTCCAACTTGTTAATATTTATGGAAACACAAAAATCTCAGACATTTGTGTCATATTTACTCAGGTCTGTTGATCAGGTTTCGTTTAATCCTGTGTATCACTGGCAAAGCTGGCCACAGTTGGACTGTTTGTCCTGACTTGCGCTTTTACAGCTGACGAGGCTTAATATTGTTTATTCGTGGCATGTTTGATTTTATTAGGCTATTTCTTGTGTCAGTTTAATTGCTTTTCTCTGATATGTTTGTGCTGATATTTTGCGTGCCACTGAATAGCGGTCTCATCTGTTCATCCAACATCTAACATGCTAACTGAGACCTGTAGAATCTCAGATGTAGATCTTGTGTTTTTTGTCATTTCTTGGAGTGAATTTGCTTGGACCTCCACTCTTTAGAAGACTGAGGCATTGCGTTAACACACAAATGCTCATGAAAACTGCCAAAGCTGCTTTCATAACATGCTCAGACTTGCTGATGATCAAGTGCATACGATTATAGGCACCTGGCCTCTAATGAAATGAAATGAAATGCCCATGGAAGCAGTAAGCATGCACTTAAATTTTTAAAGGACTGTATACAGTCCTGTGAAAACCTTTTTCTGCGGTATGCTAAATAGAAGAGCCAGAAGCTACAGAGTGCTTGGAAAACTCAAACCTCTCTTTGTGTATGTGTGTCAGTGTGTCTGGGTGGACGGGACAGCCACAGACCGTGTGTCTGTTCCACAAAGGCGACCAGATTCTGGCAGTTAATGACCTGCAGGTCAGCACTGTGGAGGAGTTCACCACGTTTATCAGCAAGTCACTCAAGAATGAGGTATGCTCATAACTTGCAATCAACCAAATGACAACGCACTAACAGATTATAAGAGTCCATGATATAGATGTGTTAATTCATGCATGCATTCAGTCTATCTGAAAAGCAAATCTACTTTCAGGTGAAAGTGACCCTCCTGCGTCAACCTAGAAACCAGCAGCTGCACCTGCCAAACTTCACCTGCACTGATTGGCAAAATGCTAATTAGAAATGAGAAATTTCATTCTTCTACAAGCCAGCATGTGTTTATATGACCTGTGCTGACCACTTATAATAGCTGACAGTATTTTCCCTTCCCTTGCTTTTTTTGTTTTGTTTTTAAATCTGTCATCAGTTTACTCAACAAATGAAGGATGAAAATCATTTTGCACCTTGCATAAACCATATTTGTGACCAGATAGATGTGATCTTCTTTTGGACAAGTACTCAGTGTATGTTTCAGTGCTTGTTTAATTAACTGCAGATAAGAGGAAACTGTCAAAAGTTACCAAAGAAGGAAACAAAAGGCAGACATTAGGCAGAAAAATAGTTCCTTGTGCTGCATTAACGGTGCCTTTTCCCAGGCTGATGTCAGTGTCTGCAAGATATTAAATTGTACATGACATGTTGTGAAGAAATGGTGTAAATATGTCGATGAAAGTAAATATTGAGCCTATTCGAATGTCTTCAAGTACGATGTCAAGTACTTTTTCCTAACATCACCTACCCAATTGTGTGTTTTCGATTGTAAGATCACCAGAAGCACCAGCTAACAGATTTAATCTAAAAAGTTACGGCTGAATTCTTTTTGACAAAGTTATATATTTTGAAAATATACACGTGTGCATTTAAAGTATTAAAATCCCATTTTATTATATTCCTGTGGCTTAGGAAAGCCAGATATCTAATGTGAATGCTATCACCATGCTGATAAATCTCTGGTTTACCTTGTAACCACTGAAGTCTGGTGATTGAGAGCCGAGTACCAAAAATCAAACCCACGTGCAGAGAACCCAAAGTGGAGGCGGAGGAAAGGGTTTAACAAAGGTTTATTAGCTAGCACAAGGATGATGTTTACAATGGCCCTTGACTTAAGGCTTGACACATGGGGCGTGGGGGTCTTGGCTAGGAGAGAGGGATAAAGTAAGGGGACAGGTCCAAGAAAGCAACAGCAGCTGGCTGGTGATTAGGTACGCACTGGAAGAGAGGAGAGCAGTGTTAAAGCAGTAGCCAATGAGGAGTTCTGGAGAGCGTGGAAGCTATTGAAACTGTGCAGGTGGGAGATGGAAACATTGAAGGAGAGGTGGTGTAGTCCGGGTGGGTTTGGTGGTGTGTGTCAGCTGTCCTGGGCGGTGAAGGTCCCGTGGTAGTGTAAGGGCAGGAGGGCAGGCAGGTGAGGCAAGGAGATGATTCTGAAAGCAGGCGGGTTAACCAGATTTCCAGGATAAGTTATTCAGTGTGATGTAATTCCCAGGAGCAACTAGAACACAAGATTGCAAGGTTAGTAAAGCACTTGAGAATCATAGACATGAAGCGTGAGGCCTGGTTACCAACATGGGGTTGTTGAGGAACTGGCAAGGAAACAGTGTCAGCAAGCAGCTTAAATCTCCAACCTAATTGCCTCAATCAGCTCCAGGTGAGGGAAGCTGTAGGCCCTGCCCATGGGTGGATACCAGGGAGGTCCAGACCTTCAGCAGAACTTTACAGCCACACACCCAGACCATGACACAGAGATTCTTTGTATGTATGCAGTGATTACATGAGTGCACTAATAAAATGCTGGCATACATTAATTTTTTCTGTTTGGCTTTTTTTTTTTTTTAACGCAAGGATTCCTTGATAGTAAGTCAAAGCAAGTAGGAGATGAACAACGAAGAGACCATTAGCTGATGTCCTCAGCACCTCGGGGAACATTAATATGTAGACAGAATCGTGTTGCTTCACCTATTTGTGCTGTTTTGAGACATGTAGTAGTGACTCAAATAACTGAGGACACTTGCACACTTTACTTTGTACTTGGTTGTAATCTTTTTTGTATTGTGCCAAATAACCAGCGCCGTTCCAGGTGAAGGTCCAGCATTAAATGGACTTTATCTGCAAGGCCTGTTCCCTTGAACTGCTGCAAACCAGTTTGTTCAGAATCGATTCATTCTTTCATTTTTTTACGCAAAAATACTGTTTGAATGTGGCAGCAGAAATTGAGACTCATCACACCAGGTAATATTTTTCTAATGTCTGGTTGTCCAGTTTTGGTGAGCATGGTTAAACGGTTTCTTCAGTTTCCTGTTAACTAACAGGAGACGTCCCTGGTGAGGTCTTCTGCTGCTGTAGCCCATCTGCCTCGAGGTTTGAATGTTACTTAAATCACCTTTCTTCTCAGTTTGAACTTCAGCAGGTCATCTCCACCATGTCTACATGGTCTAAATGAATGGTGTTACTGCCATGTAACTGTATGATTTGATATTTCCACAGCATAACACATAAAATAAAATGAGAGGGAAGAGGGACAGGGAATGAAATAGAATAGAATAGAATAGAATAGAATTCAACTTTATTGTCATTGCACATGCACAGGTACAGGGCAACGAAATGCAGTTTGCATCCATCCAGAAGTGCTTTAGTGATATAGATATATTACAATATATATTAGCAATAATATAGATATGTGAGTATATTACAGAAATGGGTCTATTATGGTATGTTATAATGTACACGGTATGAAGTATGTTGTGAATATTCTATAACTATAAGTATGTACAGGCTGTAGTGAGTACAAGCTATGTACAGGATATGGACAGGATATAAATATGAAAAACTATACAGAATATGAAATAAATAACTTTACAGAATCTGGGATATACAGCTATACAGAAATGGGAACTATGCAAGTTGTAAACAGTTGTAGGATTAAAGATTATCGAATGTACAGAATGATTATTTACACAGAGCTATACAGTAGTGCAGTTAAGATAAGTGAGGGTGTAGATAGTTTCTACAGAGGCTATATAAAGTGCTAGTGGTTGTGAGTGGTGGTTCAGTCCATGTTATTATTGTGTTTGAGGGTACAGTTGTCCATTGTGGGTGTGTGTATGTTCAGTCCATGAGTTTAACGTGGGTCAGATGTCAGGAGGCAGAGTTCAGGAGTCTGACAGCTGTGGGGAAGAAGCTGTTCCAGTACCTGGTGGTCTTAGTCCGGAGGCTCCTGTGGCGCCTCCCAGAGGGCAGGAGGGTGAAGAGTCCATGTGATGGGTGACTGGGGTCTTTGATGATTTTCCCAGCCCTTTTCAGACACCGCTTCCTGTAGATGTCTTTTATGGCAGGAAGTGGTGCTCCGGCGATGCGCTGGGCAGTTTTCACGACCCTCTGCAACGCCTTCCGGTCCGAGGCAGAGCAATTCCCGTACCAGACTGTTATACAGTTGGTCAGGATGCTCTCGATGGTGCAGCGATAGAAGTTCACCAGGATGTCTGAGGACAGGTGGTTCTTCCTCAGAGTCCTCAAGAAGAAGAGGCGCTGGTGAGCCTTCTTGACCAGCTTGGAGCAGTTGGTCGTCCAGGTGAGATCCTCGGAGATGTGAACTCCCAGGAACTTGAAGCTGCTCACACGCTCCACAGCCGTCCCCTTAATGTGGATGGGTGGATGTGGGTCAGCATTCCTCCTGTAGTCCACGATGAGCTCCTTGGTCTTCTCGGTGTTAAGCAGCAGGTTGTTTGTGTCGCACCACTCAGCCAGACGATCCACCTCCTCCCTGTAGGCGGCCTCATCGTTGTCACTGATGAGGCCAATCACCGTGGTGTCATCTGCAAACTTAATGATGGTGTTGGAACCATCAGCAGGTCTGCAGTCGTGGGTGAAGAGGGAGTAGAGGAAAGGGCTCATCACACAGCCTTGTGGTACACCGGTGTTCATTGTGATGGTAGATGAGCAGCGGTTATCCAGCCGGACATGTTGGAAATGCCTAATGTGTGTATATATATATATATATATAGACATCCATCTATTTTTTTTTGCCAAAAACTAACATAAGTGGTTAAATTTAAAAGCTGTGAATTAATATTCCAAGCAGCTCTTCTGAGTGCTTTTATGCAAAGTGGTGATGTGGAAACCAAATTCCTAGATTAACCTCCTAAAACCCGAACTCTTCCACAGCATGCATTTTTTAATTTCTCTTTGATATTTGGGCATATTGGGACCCAATGAATGTAAAAACAAAGAATCAGCAGATTTGTTTTTGTTTTTTTACCTGATTTCTGTTCCTAACAAAAATGAGAGCCACGTATGAGGATATTAGTTATAAATTTTGATGGAACAGTGGCAGTATAATGTCCTTGTAAGTGGATATCAGGCCCTTGTAGAGAAAAATTTAGTATTTTGGTCTAGACAACCCAAAATGTGATGTCCACATGTGTGGACGCCAGATCCTAGGAGGTTAAAATTGTATAGATAACTTGCACCCTGCAGTGTGCTACACGGTGTTTCTCACATGGTGGAATCTACAGGACACATTTCTGAAGTGTTCAGCTTTTGTTTTTTTCCTTTTCTCTCCTCCTACTCTGGTATCTGATGCTCAAAATACACATGCACCCTGAAACACCTTAACACATGATAAGACAGATGGTTTAACTTAAGGACGAACGAAATCAAAAACCATCTCTGTACTGTATGTCTGCTGACCCAGAGATAAACTCCTGAAAGACAAGACCGAAGACATCTTAAAAAAAAAAAAAAAAAAAAAAAAAAAAAAAAGGCTTACACTCACCTGGCATTCCCTCCTAACACACTGTAAGTGGCTGCAGAGGTTCATCAGTATGAATCACAACATAAGATTCAGCAGTGAATATCCACATGTTGACTGCAACCTTCCAAACTGACCATGTAAAGTTAGCAAATTAGCCAAAACAACTATTATCAATATAATACTTAGAGTCATAATATGTCTTATAAACCTAAAAGCTTTGATGGGCTCTTCTAGGTGCTTTTACGTAGGTTGGGGAATAAAACGGATTGTTTAAAGAAGGCAATAGAAATATCAAGTATTATTAAATATAGAGCAATTAGAAAGAAAAGTTTCTAAAGTGGTATTGTTGCAAAGAAATAAAAACACGGTAGCAATGTTATTTTAAAATATTTATTTCTTCAGCATAAAACTTTGATCATGTACAAAATAAATCACAATAAAAAAAAAAATTGCACAGTTTCAGAGCAGCACCTGCAGCATATCAAATGAATGAGATGGTAAAAGAGTCTGGATGACCCTGGTCCAACTGTAAGTTTAATACATGAATCATGTCAGGTTCATATAACACAGCTTCCAGAGTTTTTCTAATTCAGGTCTAAAAATCACAACCGCTTCCTCTAAATTTAAATGTAAAGTTAATTAAACAAATAGCGTTAAAATAAACCAGTCCATACAACACTTCAAGTATCGCATACTATTAGGGTGTTCCTTTAGCACCGACAGGCAGCTGGAAAATAAGTCACTGTTTATTCTTAACGTCCATGAGCCACTCACTGAAACACTTCTCCATCGCCTTCCTGTTGGCCCAGCTGCCATTGTTAACTGTAGGGATGATCTTGAGGGGCTGGAGCCACTGCACAAACCGCTTCAACTCAAGAAAGCTGCTGTGTTCACTATAGGGGATACCTGTCAGACAAACAGATGGGTTGATATCATCATAAACCGACAGCTCTTTAAAAAGCAATTAGCTAATTTGAAAGTTTTACTTCTCCTTTGGGAAATTTTTAGAGTTTAGTCAATTCAGAGGGAAACTGGCTTGCAGTAAACAACGCTGGAGACAGATGTTAAACACACAGGGAAATCGATCAGGCAAGCAAAAGGGCAAAGCTTTAAAAGCCGGACCAGATGCTCAATGAAGACGTCCACAGGCTCAGACTGTTCCCCTCTAAGGGACAATGCAGAATTATTCAGTTTTCAGTTAATACACAAAATAAAAACCTAGCTTGGAACCAATGCAGAAAGCAGATGCCTTGTGTTTATCCACATTTTAGCCCTGGACAAATTTTATGTGCTCCTCTGCTTTAAACAGGTCTAGCTAGAAAAAGGGGGGGAAAAAAGCCTATTCATGGATAAAGTCAGTCCGTTTCCACATGCAGAGAACATTTGCAGCAAATGGCGGCATATGGCAGGGAAGAGCGAGAAGGAGGAGATAAACAAGGCAGAGAGAGAGAGAGGGAGAGTGCAAATTGGCTTCCGCCTGAGTGACACACAAACTGCTGAGAAGGAAGAAAATATACGTGAGTGTGCACCCCAGAAGCCTCTAGCTGGTGATTGGAGGTTACGAGCCAGATGGCTGATGCTTCTGATGGATCTATTCAGAACATGAAACGGGGGTTAGGAAGAAAAACTGGCTAAATCTGCAATTGAAAAATCAAGTCATGGCCCAAATTTAGAACTGGGGTTTAATGCTAGACTAGGAAGTGTTGTCCACAGAGGAGATCCACGACCCCAGGGCACTGACGTTATGTATCCTGTTGCCACCAAGCCAGAGCAGTCTGAAACCAAGCCATGCTCTATTGTGATTCTATAAGACTTGTTTCAGGCTTTACCAAAAGAGGGAGCTGTAGGCTAAATACAACAATATTAACAACACTCAAATTGTTGTGGGATAATACTCTTATATATGACACTTCTTTTTCCTCTCCAAAAACTAGAAGAAAAAAGGCTTTGTGCGTACCATATATGGTGATGTTGCCGCTTTTCTGAGGCTGAATGTCTTCCACTGATTCTATCTGCTGACTGAAGGTCCAGCCGGTAGG